CTCGCTACTCTTAATCTCTTACGCGATTAGCGCGAGTATATCTAGTTCCTTCTAATATACTATCGAGTATATTTACTTTATAGTATTCTAAAGTATTTTAGCGGGCTCCTAGAAGTAGTTATAATATAGGCGGTTCTTACCGCTTTATCTAAGAGTAACTATAATTAACTAATTACTATATTAGAAGATTCTAGTAACGAACGTATTTAAGAATAGGCCGCCTATAAAAAGGTTTTATAGATCCGCTTAGGCCTTTATTAGTTCTACTTAAAGATTCCTATAGAGGTCTTCTTCTCTCTAGATCTTACTATAAATATAGTAGAGGCTATTTACTATTAGAGTAATCTAGGCGGAACTAGGTTTTTACTAATAAATATAATTAATTAGTAAATATTAGTAATTTCTTAGATATTTCTTAGATTTATTTAGTACTAACTATAATTTATTAAAGGTAGAATTATTAATATCTATATAGTTAATAAAAGAGAAACCTTCTTTACGTCTAATATTATTCTAATATTATATAATCGAACCCGAAGATAAATATAAAGACTATTTAGTAAATTCTAATATCTATAAGATCTTTCTTATTAATATATACTAAACTAGTAATTTATTAGGCTAAAGAAATATAAAGAGAAGACTAGTTAATCTAGTAACTCCTTTACCTCTACCGAATTCCTCCTAACCTCTATTAGATTTCTCTAGTTCCTATAAGCGAGCTTTTACTATAAAAGTATTAACTATTAGAGTTCCTCGGTTACCTACTAAGAAAGCTAAAAGGATAACTATTTAAAATCTAATTAGTCTAGTTATCCCTCTATATCGAATAAGCTCTTCTAGATCCCTACTAGAAGCTTTAAGTTCCTCTTAGGCTTTACCCCTACCTACTCTCTCTACTCTTATAAGCTTATAGTTAGATTATTCTAGTTCTAGTTAGAATTATAAAAAGCTTAAGGATTATTAGTTAGCTATAGAAGAGCTTAAAGTAGCTTATATTTAAGAATAGAGAGACCTTCTAGCTAGGTTTAGCTAGTTATAGTAAGAGCTATAAATAACTAGGAATTAATAAAAGAGTTTTTTATTATTAAATTTATCTAGTCTTAAGTAGTTTCTTATTAGAAAACTAAATAATAATAGACTACTATTACTATTCTCTAATAATAAGTCTAAAAATACTAATAGATATAGTTAACTAAACTATTAGGGAACTTATTAGCTAGTAATATAATAATAAAATTAAAGTCTAGAATTCCTTATCTTAAGGGGGTTACCTTAGGGAAGTCCGCTTTAGGAAGTATTAAATATATTATATAATTAGTATTTTATAATTAATAGTAAATTCTAGTATATATCTATTAGGGACTAACTTAACCTTATAACTAATATCTTCCTCTAGGCTATTACTAAAGTCTATTAGTAATTAATATATAGAATAAATAAAATAATTTATATCTAATAGCTATAAATAGGGGCTAAATCTAGTCTATTATAGTTAGTAATTAGTTATTTTTAGAACTTTTTATTACTTATTATTATACTAGAGTAATAGATCCGCTTATAACTACTAAGCTAGGATATTAACCGTTCTATAGTATATAGTTAGTATATTATATTCTAGTAGTAATTAATAAAATCGAGATCTTACTATAATATAGCGCTTAATATATACCTATACTCGAAAGCCCTAATTACTAGGCTATTTACTATAATTAAAATATTATTAGTATTAACTAGTAAAGGGCTTTAAATAAGCTTTACTATTCGAAGTTATAATAGGGATACTTCTAAGTATATCGTAGAATATTCTAATATATATTAGTAATAATAAATTAAGATATATAATATAAGACTTATAATAGTTCTAACTAAAATCTAGAAATAGTATAGATCGGTATCCGGATACTTTAAGGCTAGATAGTTATAGATTTTTTTAATCCTATTATATTAGCTCTTAGATAGAACTAGAAAGGGGTTAAAAACTTACTTATATTTACCGGTTTATAGCTAGATCTTAGCTTCGATTACTTCTAGAGGAAATTAGTAAGATATTATAACTAATTAAAAATATATAGTTAGTATTAGTAATATAGGCTTTCCCTTATTTAGGGTAAGGATAGTAATAATAATAAATATCGTAAATATATTAGTTTTAGTTAAAGATAGTAAGTAGAAGAAGATAGATTTATAATTTTAAAGAGAATCTTAAATACTCTACCTACTACCCTTAAACCTTATTAGTTTAGTATATCTATTATCGGTATCTATTTAATACTAAGATTTACTAAAATTTACTAAAATTTACTATATTTTACTATATTTTACTATAAAAACGCCTAAAACTAAAAGGAAGTTATAAAGTTTAGAAGATATATATATATAAGCTTATATAAGATATATATATTTAGGTTACGGTATATATCTCTTAAATTATATATACTCTAGATTATTAATATTAGTAGGAACTCCTAATATTAATATATACTAATTATCCCTATAGATATCTAGTAAAATATAAAGAAATCTAATAATTAATAATATAGACCTAATACTACCTAACGAAATCTAACGTATAATAAGTAAAAATAGTAGAATATACTAAATCTAAGTAAAACCTTAAAGCTACTAAGAAATCCTAAGTACTAGTAGTAGTAATAATAGTAGCCCCTTCCTTATTAGTACTACCCCCTCCCTTACTAGTACCCCCTCCCTTATTAGTACCCCCTCCCTTACTAGTACCGTCCCCTCCCTTATTAGTACCCTCTCCCTTATTAGTACTACTCCCTCTCTTACTAGTACCCCCTCCTTTACTAATACTACCCCCTCTCTTACTAGTACTACCCTCTCTCTTACTAGTACTACCCCCTCCCTTACTAGTACTACCCCCTTTCTTATTAGTACTACCCTTAGTAGTAGCCTTAGTACTATTACCGCTATTACTATCTTCTTTATCGTTATTATTATTATTATTATTATTATTATCTTCTTTATTACTATCTATAGCTATATTATCGCTTACCCCTTTATTATCCGATAGATTCCGGGTTATCTTAATTCGTTAGAGTTACCTAGGAATAATTAGTATATACTAGATATTACTAGATTATCGTACTTATATCTAATTTCTCCTAGAAGTACCTCTAGTAATACGTAAGCCCCGCTATTACTACCGATTCTTACTCTATAGTAAGAATTAGTAATATCTAATAATAATAAATATAACCGAAAACTTACTATATAATTAGTTTTAATATACTTTCGAATTATAGTAGCTTTACTACTACTCTTAGATTTATAGCTATAGTATAGGTATAGTAAGGTATATTAAGGAATAGTCTAAATAAAGTAATATTAGTAAAAATATAGATACTTTTAGTAGGGGCTATATATATAATAATTATATTCTAGATAGGCTAGCGTTTAGCTAAGTAAGTATAGTAGTTATAAATCTAAATCTTAGAACTAGATATAGTTAGTTATTAGTATATATACTATTACTTCTAGTAGTTTCTAGATAAACTTATACCTATCGACTAGGACGTTAGCTATATTTAGTACTCCTCTACTAAAAGCTAAGATTATATAGTTATAAAGCCGCTATAGTAAATATTAATAGAAAGAGCTAGAAATAATATAGGTTAAACGATATTAGAACTAGTAAAGTATAGTAAAATATAAGAAAACTAATAGAGAGAAGAAAGGGGAATAAGATATTAATATATATATTATAATTTAGAAGATAAGAAGAATACTAAATATTAAAAGTACCCTTTAATAATCTTTATCTTTTTTAATATAAAGACTATCGAAAGCTACTATATACTTCTAGTAGGATCTAGATATTAATAGGTTCTAGGTATTATAAAAGCGTCCTTTAATAGTCTTTATCTCTTTTAATATAAAGACTATTAAAAGCTACTATATACTTCTAGTAGGATCTAGATATTAATAGGTTCTAGGTATTATAAAAGCGCCCTTTAATAGTCTTTATCTCTTTTAATATAAAGACTATCGAAAGCTACTATATATTTCTAGTAGGATCTAGATATTAATAGGTTCTAGATATTATAAAAACGCCCTTTAATAGTCTTTATCTCTTTTAATATAAAGACTATTAAAAGCTACTATACACTTCTAGTAGGATCTAGATATTAATAGGTTCTAGGTATTATAAAAGCGCCCTTTAATAGTCTTTATCTCTTTTAATATAAAGACTATTAAAAGCCACTATTTATAATTAGTACGATCTAGCTTACTTTTATAATCTTAAGGGCTTATCTATAGAAGTGGGTATTTTTATATCCTTCTAAATTCTACTAGTCCCTACTAGAAACTATCTTATCAAAAGTCGTAAAAAACCCCTCCTATATCTAAATTTAGTAACTAAGCTCGTAGGATGGATTTTAGTAGGTTTTAAGAAAATCGAGCCTAAAAGACCTATAGTTAGTATTAGTTAAGCTTACTAATAATCAGACCTTACTAGAGTCTACTATCTATACTATCTATCTAGGATTTTTTGCGACCCTACGACCCTACGACCCTCCGACCCTATCTTTCGTACTATAAAATTACTAGTAATTTCCCATTAACAAATCAAAAATTACTAGTGGTACCCTAACAAAAACCGGTATTAACTAGTCTCATATACCCTACCCCTGCGACCCTGCGACCCTGCAAGCACACGACCCGTTTCGGTCACTTCACAAAAGGGAAACTCGTGGATTCCATCTTATGAGCTTGAATCATTCGGAAGGTTACATCTGGATCGTTTCCCGCGAGCCTAAAAACCTTATCTCATTGCGCCACATAAAAGATTCCCGCACCCAGCTATAAGCGGCCTCTGCTGACAATTCTGTCTCCGCCATCGGGGGTTGCTACTATTCTTTTTTAAACTGTCTTACTCACCCAGATAAAGAGCTTCAAAGACTTGGAAGTGCTTCTTAGAGATCATTTATCCTATTTCGCATCCACATTGATCTTGAGCTGTTCCACCAGCTCATATGCACTTTTATCCCAAAGCACGAGAGCAGCGGCCTAGCATACATCAACCGTCTGTTCGGCCGCGTCGATTTGCTCTACTGAAAGCTGCGGCTGTCAATCTTCTGCTTCTCCAATTTCTGTTTCTGGGCTTATTCTGCTACATCTTTGGATCTGTCTTCCAGCAGTCCGGACACATCCACAATATCAATGTCTTGTTTGTCGACTACGATGGCGGCGCAATAGCAGATGCGACCCGCACCGCATTCCAGAAGCTCAAGGGGCCTGGCTTCCCAACCTTGATTGAGCGACCTTCCTCTGCGTACCCCGAACCTGGCTCTATTGAAGGCGCAGTCTGCGATATCGACTACTGGGGAGCATTGTATACCACAGCAAATGCTTCCAATGCGTTAACTGCCGCACTCTCGGGCGGAGCAGCTGCATCTTCATACAACCAGAATAATGTTCTGACAATGGTGTGGAATGAAGCGCGCTACCCAACTGTGGCAGACGCGGCTCTCCAGAGCAGCTTGAAATCACTGTCGGAAACTGCACGGGTCGCGTACTTGCAGGCGAACGGAAAATCAGCCTTGCAAACTTTGAACAGCTCAGATCCTGCTGCGCTCGCAGCGTTCTACGAGCCTTGGACTTTAGCTGACAATAACATTCAGCCCACATCACAAGGGTCAAGAGTCATCTACAATACGCTGGTTATCGTTTTGATCCTGATCCAAGAATTCTTCTATCTGGGCACTGTCAACGGTTTGTATATACAGTTTAAACTCTACACGTCAGTATCGCCCCATCGAATCGCGATCGCACGCCAACTCATCTCTGCGGTCTACACCCTTGCAGGATCCCTGTGCACAACTGGTGCTATCTGGGCATTCCGCCATGGATGGGATGTCAACGGAAACCAATTCGTACTGTCTTGGATGGCGTTGTGGCTCTTTGCGCATCTGAATTTCCTTGTGCTGGACGTATTCACCATTTGGATTCCACCTCCTTACGTGCCGATGGCGCTGATATCCTGGGTTATCTTGAATGTTACCTCGATCCTCCTGCCGTTCGAGCTGTCCCCTGGCTTCTACAAAGTAGGCTTTGCCTTACCAGCACATTCTATCTTCCAGATACTCGTCGACATCTGGTCTTCGGGTTGCAATCCCCAACTTTATTTCTCCTTACCCGTTCTTTTCGCCTTCCAAATTGTTGCTGGAACTTTGAGCACGATCGGTGTCTATCGAAGGGCTCATTATGCGTGCATCAAGCAAGAGATGGAGGAGAAGGATTGCAAAGAGCGGATAACTGCCGCAATCCTTGAGCAACAGCAGGCTCAAGCTGTGCAACCAGAAACCATGCACGATGCAGAACGGCGCGAAACATCGGAGAGTGAGAATGAGGGAGATGGCGCGATTCAAAGACACGGCGCTGTCCCCGCTATTGCAGACCAGCCGGAGTTGATGGATATTATTCGCCGCGAGATTGCCCGGCCAAAGACTGAAAGCACAGGCACCAGCCGGGATATCACCGGGCCTTCTTTCGCATTGGCTTACAAAGACCGAGGCGTTTGAGGGCTCCAAGGGTTTCAACTTGCATTCAAACCTGTATATTGTATGTACAAATTCGATGTAAATACTTGGGACGTCTTACTTGTGCGACAATACTGTGTGTATAATATACTGATATCCTGTATCCAATATTCAAAAACTCGATTCGAGACACTCTTAAAAAAAACAACGATATATCATTCTCCAAACCTGAGAACAGAAATCGATTCAACTAAACATTGCCTAGGGAAAATAGTACGCAAAAGCAATCACAAATCCATATCAACCTCAGCATCAACGACTAAGTCATTCCAAGTAGGCCCAAGCAGCACTAGGGCGATATAGTTGTCATCGCTTGGATCCATCACGCTTTCTTCTTCACTAGCCTCCGTATCAGCCTCATAGCCTCGGTCTTCGTCAAATGCAGTATCCGGAAGCGAAGTAACCCTGTTGATCATTCGGTCAATAGCATCTGCAACGATAACACCACTGTCCAAGTTGCTTTCAAGCAGACGAACCTGCCTAGGTAAATCTCTTTGGAGGATATCAGAAAGATATCTAAGACGAGAACTCACCTTCTTGCGCGCACAGACACGGAATAGAATAGAGAGTGAGTTCAGCCTTTGAATCACTAATTGGCGTTTCTCGGGACTATGTCGGAGATGGCCGATCTGAGACTTCAGAGCGTTGAGCACAAGCTCGTATTGATCCTGATCGTTTTGCTGCGGCATTTTTACAGATTAATTTCTTCGGATGGTGGGATGGTGTAGATGCTGGTAATTTTGTGGATAGGCGTTGATCGGCGATAAGATTATTGAAATGATTAATCTCTGTGATTTGGGCATTCGGGCTATTTATCTTTTTCTTCGACAGTGTCTTACTCAATTCGTAGTTGGTCTCACGACAAAGATATTTGTTACACATAAAGAGATGAATAATAGATGGGCATTGTTCCAGCCACTATCATCTAATACATGCTCTGTCTTTCCTAACGAAGGAGACATTGTCTCACAAAGCTCTTTATTTGGGGGCGCAGAGAATATAGGCCGCCAGAATGACAAGCGCGCAAAGATCATACATTGGCTATGACTTGGGCGTAATTTTTTACTATACCGATAAGCCCTCAAATTTTCTTGAATGGCCAAAAGAAAGATTTGCAATACAGATGCATTATTTGCTGTTGATGCACTATCTCATGCCCATCGATATTACTGTCTATTCCTTGTGTGTCATAGTAGAACAAGACCATCTCGAGACTGCATCTTCTACGACCGTCAAATGGATGTTCTCTCTGCATGTCGGGTCAAGATATGCCTAGTTGTTTGACAAAGCAATGGGGCGATGAGAATAGTGTCAATGATGTCTAAGTAGGTATTGCAGCATGCCGTTATTCTAATCTGACGCCTTTGCGCCACGAGATCAAGCATGGTCAACATACAATCCGGTAGTGTATTGGAGTCATTCCGAGGCTGGCATTCTAGAACCTCCCTTTCACATGCGTTCTCGGTCGACTTAGTTGATATCAAACCTTCGGTTGGCATCTCAATCGGAGAGCTTGACCTGTCCACAAAGGACGACATCTTCCCCAAATGGATACCACTTGACATTCTTCAGCCGTGCCGCAGAGATCGCATTTCCACCATCGTCAAAACGTCGAGCAGGGGAGACGACCACACCACCTTCACCTAGCCATGTCGGAGCGATAGTCACAATAACGCTGTTCAGCAATGACATATATTTCGGGCTCAGAAGCGACTTGATGATCTGGCCACCTCCCTCTATCATGATGCTTCTGAGACCGTTCGATTTCAGTGTAACGAGCAAATCTTGCCAGTCAATTTGATGCCCTCCCGTATGTGTTCTGAGCATGTTGACCATGATAAACTTGCCGCCGTATTTTTCCAGCAATTCCTTTCTCTTCGTGTCTTTTGTCTCAACTGCGGTGATGACCCAGGGAGCAAGACCCCGTCCCTCCCTGCAAAGTTGGAACAGTTTGCTATCATCTGAAAAGTTCCATCGAGCCGTGGGATCAATTACTACCGGTCTCGGCTGACCATCCAATCCCGCTTTCCCATAACCGCCGACTCCTGTGATGCGACAGTTGAGACCAGGATCATCGGCGACTGCGGTACCAACGCCAATCAGAATGCCATCGTGCCGAGATCTCAGATAATGAGTCATCGCCTTAGATTGAGGCCCCGAAAGCACTGTGCGTGCGCCAGGGGACAAAGCCAGCGAAGAATCAAGCGAGGTCGCGAATGTGAGTGTTGCAAATGGCAGGTCGGGAAGAGGTGCCGAGCCATCCCGTGGGGGGAGATGAGGCTCTAAGAACTCCCTATCCGATTCTGGAAATTCCAGTGCATCTCTGGGCGGTGCACTCATCTTGGCTGTGGCAGATTCGAAATAGTCTACTTAGTGTGGCTGTTGATCGGAGACCGGAAGATCTGAACCTCGGCACTGGCGGTGAGATGAAGTTGATATTGATGCCTCAGGCTCCAAATGCAGCGACTCCACTAGCCAGCGACCACACTCCACGACGATTGGGCAAAGTCCGAAATGAATCGCTCGTCAAGGGATGATCCCTGTCACCCATCTGAAATAGCGGGGGCTTTTACGCGACCCCCCGAACTCCACAAATTGTCCCTGTTCCAAGGTATTCGAACAACCCATTCCGAATCTCATGCCTATGGCCATGTCAGATCCACATCTCCTTCCCCCGGAGAACCAATCAGTCGTCGTGATACGAGAGAAGGAGAAGAAAAAACGGGTTAGCGCCTCGAAGGTCCGCACGGGCTGTCTGACATGCAAGTATGTTCCCCAAGCCTAGTACCAGGTCAATTCTCAATGGACGAGAAGATCCGCAGAGCGTAAACACGATGCAGATATCCACCTCAAGTCCATGGATACCAACCTGACTATGTATACGGAGTAACCTCGGCGCTAACAGATATCGCAAGGTCTCGTCATAAGAAATGCGATGAAACCCGACCCGCTTGTCTCATGTGTACTCGCTCCGGACGAGCATGTCAGGGGTACGCGGCGCCACCCGATAGAAGAACCCGTGAAGTCCGAGACGCGCGGACCGCGAAGGCCAATGGTGGCGCGCTGAACATTGTGCACGTAGGACAGCAACAAGCTCAATCTGCTGGGTTAATCTATGTGCCCGATGGGAGTCAAATTGGCCTATCACGGATAGAACGCGACTACTTGTATTCGTTCCGTTCATACACGGCTAGCCAATGTGCTGGGTATAACTTCGACCCATTTTGGCAGGTACTTGTTCACCAAGTCATTGAATCTTGCCCGGGGGTCCGCCACGCAGCTATTGGTATCGGTGCCTTGCATCGTAAATTTGCAGACCCCACTTCCAGTCGGAATGACATTTTCCCAATCCGACAGTCCGCAAAAGCAATTTCATGTCTTCGGAAGGCAATGCTGAGCGATGACCAATCGGACCCCTCAGCCACAGAGAGGGTCCTGGTGGCGTGTATCGTTCTAGTCACATTTGCTATATTCCAGGGTGATTTTGACGCTGTTCGCTGTCATCTGCAAGCTGGCAGTAGGCTCCTATTGGAGTGGAGAAAGAAGAACGCCAAGACCAGCGTTGTCGCGCCTGTTTTATTACATACATTCGTACAGCTCCATATCCATTGGGTAAGCGTTACAAGGCTCGAGGATTATAAGGGAGGAGATCACCCCTACGTTCAAGAGCTTTTTCAGGATAACCTCATCGATATCTCTGCATATGGCGATGAGTTGTCTAAAGCGACTATGACAGCGTCTATTCAAGGGTGGTCATTGATGCTCAGTGATCCCATATCGTTTGACCCGCAGACCACCAACCTGTCGAAGGGGTATTCCTGGGACAGCCCGGCGAATAAGATTCATCGTTGGAAAACTCAAGTGGCGGACTGTCTTGCTCTCCACAGGGAAAATGCTTCCCCGGAGAAACTCCGCACATTTTTGCTGCTCCAGATCCAGATTGACCAGCATGAGATCATCATCAGCTCAACCACGTTTTCAGGCCGTGAAACAGATTGGGATATCCTCCTCCCCCGCTTTCAGGGTGTCGCTGATAAAATAGAACTGCTGCTGAGTAGTTTTGTCGATTTACCGGACCCCTTGTTCTCCGTCAAGGAAGGGATCCTAGCAACTCTCATGTTTTGTGGATTGAAATGTCGGGATTGGTCGGTTCGCCAGAAGGTATTGAACATTTGCCGAAAATACGACCGGCGAGAAGGTGTGTTTACTTCGGCCGAAGCCACGCTCATGCTACAACGAATCTATGAAATCGAGTCCGCGGGCATCAGCCCGGGGGAGCATATCCCCGAATCCGCTCGCGTCAACACAGTGCACATCGCAGAACACCCCAATATTGCCAAATTCAACCCCAAAACTCACCTGAAGTATCGTGATTACGATGGGAATTGGTACAGTGAGTGGTTGTCGCCATGAAATTGTGGCTTACATCGTTGGAATGGAGATTTCCAAGGTTGGAATTCACCATTCTAGCCTTCGGCCGAAACCGCGGCATTGATGATTGAGATGAACTTTACATACATATAACAATGAATATACTAGATAATTACGTGAATGAAAAACTTTCGGGGTATCATATAAAAAAAAGCATGCGCCAATGAGAAAGGGAGGGAAAGGCAAATAGGCACAACGGGCTTGTAAGTTAAGTTCGAAAAGATCCTTCGACGCCACTATTTGCCATTTACAGCGATAACTCGCTTCACAAGGATAGGGCTGAGGAAGTGGAATGGAGGCTAATGATCCTTCAAGGATTTTGCAAGACCTTGGACGCCACATCAAAAATTGAGGATTACACCCTAAAGGGACCAAGTGGGCCATAGTTTGCTCCATACGATACCACTTGGGAGAGTGGCTACCCACACACCGGACAGTACAGAAGACCAACTTGTGGAGTTGTGCATTTGGTTGGTACGCACTCCACGCACGTAATTTATGCCCCCAAAGTCTGTTGCCAATCGAGAATCATTATGATTAGGGCATGATGTTGACGAGAGTAGTGGATCCTTTGCTGTTGACGATGCGATGGGATATTTGGTGACAATATGTACCGGACAGTTTTCTAAACATAATCGCCACTGATAACCACTGCGGAGCCAGCCAGATCACTTCTCCCCCATCGGTGAAGGGGACCATCTCTTAGTGAGACATCCCTTTCCAAATTTACACCGTACTTGATCCAAATCTGCAGTGTTCCATATCCTGCAGATCTGGAACTAAGCAGTAGATCGGAATAGAGCGCATCGAATCGTCGATCTGAACTGGTAGGATGTGAAATTTGACCACTGCTGGCAGCCATGGGCGATTTATTATCGTTGTGATGGAGGTCTGAGTTAGCCACTGGGAGACTGTAGGTTGGCTTCATATGTACAGTTGTTTCGCATCCTATGTGCTCGGCGAGGGCCAGCAGTGCAAATGAGCTTTACTAGAACTGATCCTCAATTAGGGGAAATCCTAGTGAGTGCTTTTTTTGCTCTCTCACTCAAACTTTTAGTTCAAAAAATGCGAATTACAATGTTCATCATACCAGCCTCAGTCCTTCATTTCCTAGTTGATCGGATTGTGTCGGATAGTCTGGTCACACAAAAGACCAACGCCCTCCCCGTTGGTAGTCGCATTGTGTGAAAACCCAAGTCCGCAATGTATATGGGGTAATATTCCTGGATGAAATCTCGAATCACCGGCGTTTGAATCTCTACTCACTCGCTCGTCAGATTCGGTAACAAAGGAGGTCTTGAGCTTCAGACTGCAACCCCCGTTTGCAAGTCTTCTTTCACCCCTAAGCGAGGAAGATGAGATTTCGAGTACACAACAGTGTCTGTGGATCTCTCTATTTGAATAACATCTGCAGGTTTTTGCGCTTTGTTTGATGTTGTTGGTCACAACCCCTGAACCAACCACTCATTGAATAACCCAAACCATTCATGTCCAGATCCCATCTACAGGTAAGTCAACACCCGCCTCACTTAAAAATTGAAAGCCATTTTACTTAAGGACTCTGCAATCTCACGATTTTTTTCAAATCCGCTAAGCAGTTTTGCAGATAATTTCTTGCGTTGACGCTGTGTTGCCCAACTTGTAGACTCGCCTGGGACTTCTTTGGGCCTGACAGGGTTCCCTGGTTTTCTTCCTTCTGCATGGTTATTCAAGGTACATAGATTCATGTTGACCTATTATCTTCCCTCCAGGTACCATATACACAAACAAATCAGTGGGATGGCTCCACGTGAGTTTACGCCAAAAGGCAAGTTTATCAGGAATGAATATGAGCTAGGTATATTGAAGCATCTCATTCATTCATTACTCCCCGATAAAAAGTGTATAATCATCAATATTGAAGCCTCGGGCTTGTGGCTATGGCAACCCTTCCTCCGCCTCAAGGAGTAGTAACGCAACTCTCAGTGAATGGTCTCATCGCGATAACCTGGGCTGGCACAGGGGTGGGCATCATATTCACCACTGCTCGCATCGCTATCCGAATAGCGTATATGAAGCGTCTACTAGCAGATGATTATTTCATGCTACTTGCCTTGGCATTTCTGATAACGAATGCAGTTTTACAAACTCTACAAGCACCTCATCTTTACTATGTTGTTCTCAATATAACAGGACCGGATATTGTTCACCACGGACTGCGCTATACTTACTACGAGTTTGCAATCATCGGTATCTTCTGGTCTGTGTTGTGGAGCGTAAAAGCCTCGTTCCTGGCCTTATTCTGGATAATATCCGATGGTCTGCCACGGTATCGGCGGGTGTGGTGGGCAACTGTGGTTTTTGCAGCCCTAGCATACATCGGTTGTTGGATTGGATCGGTTTACACCTGCCATCCACCATCAAATTATTTCAAGTTTGGTAGATGCCTCACCCCTCCTCGCGATTCTCGACGGTGATATCTAACTCTTCACAGGCAAATGTGCCAAGCCAATTGACCAGAAAGGCTCTGTTATCTCTATATCGTACAGCACTGCGGTGGATATTCTCACAGATTTATTAAGTACAGTTATTTCCCAGATACCTTCTAGGATGGTACTAACGCTTTTCATTTTCCAGTTATGTCCCTCCCTCTTCGCATCCTCTGGGAGGCAAAAATCAACATACAGCAGAAAATCGGTCTAGTGATAGTTTTCTCTCTTGGCTTTGTGATTATCGCAGCTGCAATTGTTCGAGCAGTTGAAATCACAGGCAAAGCATACTCAGATCAGGCAGCTCTTGCAGTATGGAGCGTTGTCGAATCCTCAATCTGTATGTCGGCCACTAGCATCTTCAATCATGGAGATCTGAATACTAATCAAGATAGCCATCATCGTCGGATGTCTCCCTCCGTTCCGGGCCATCATATCTACCAAACCAAGCACCACACAATCTCCCTACGGTTCCTCGGGTGGTAGGCCAAGCTCTTATGATCGGAATCCATCAGTACACGGAAAGCATCGGTCCGATACAGCCAGCTGCGGTGAAGCACCCTTGCCATTGCATGATCTTGGACCTTTCAAAAGCAGCCTTGATTATAAAACATGTGCACGAGATGTGTATATAAGTGGTGGGCAGAATGCCGGGGCATCGAGGAATACGCGCCGCGGTGCGGCGGAAGAAGAACTCAGAGGAGATATTAAAATGGTACAAGAATTCGTGAGTTTGCTACCGTCTTTATCATTTCAAACCTCAAACTAATTGGAACAACCAGAGTGTGATATCGTCCACGTGATGCTTTTATACTTCAATCTCAAAGTTTGCTTTCCGAGCCATGAACCCAAAAAGTTAATTCTAACCTCTTATACTCTTTAATTTCAAATATTTGAGCTTATGTAGGGTATTCAGTCTCAACCTGCTCCGTGTGGGTGGTTGACATAGATTCCTTGCAGTTTAATTCGTGTTCATCTCCAGCCACAAGTTGATTGAATACAGCTAACATCATATCCGGATAACGGTCTCACCATATCAAGAACACATTTTCAAAAAGACACAAATGCTACCATGGAACGTGCAGAGACTGTGGAATTGAAGGCTCGGTCCCTCGTAATAGGAACAGATCCCAAGGCCGTCAAGTCATGACCATCGTTTGTCACCCAATGCCGAAACTTTCGAATCCTTCCTGGGTTATGGACCTTCACATTTACCCCATATGCCTCAGTGCCGCTGTTTTTCATCCGAATAGAAATGTTACCATCGAGATTGAGGAGCGAGCTAACATATAGTAAGGCGCAGAACCAGTAGCCTGCACACGATGAGCACTTGGTCGAGCAAACCTACTGAACGGTGCAAAAGTTTGGAAACGCTTGCTCGGGTTGACCTCGTTCCCTATCAGATTGACGAGGCCATTGCCTGTCATTGAGCTCTCAGCGCCAATCCAATAAAGAAAACTGCCGACGTTGGCGTCAACAAGCGGGACCTGAATATTGCGTGCCCACGTCATGCCTTCTCCGGATCCACGGATGCCGAGGAATTTGTGAGGGGGTGAAACCCCCCGACAGATCCAGGTTCATTCTCAGGAACCCGAGGTGGGTTACCTTGACCCCGGACTGTTTGTAGAAGCGCGCCCACTGGACCAAGTAGTCTACGTAGGCCTGCATCCAATTTCCAGATACACAAGCGGTATCGCTCACTCCGCATATAAGACCGCCGTTATTTTCATCGCCATTTGTTTGCATGTATCCAGGGGCCAGACCATGCATCACCGTGCAGGCCCCGTTGTATGCCTCTTGGGCCAGCGGAAACTGACTGCTGTTGTTTCGGACCCGAATATAGTGCGGGTGGTCTTTTGGAGATCCGAGACTGAATGAATCTACTCCGTATACGATAAAGTTGCTGTCTGGACTGTTGCTTGAGCCAATCTCATTCCGCAGAATTGCAAACCCAGCGCCTTTTTCAACATCGAACAGAAGGTCCAACACGTGTTCGGTGTTTTCGGTAGAAAGACCCTCCTTCCCGTATATGTCTCCAGCATGTTGAAAGGCTTGCAACACGCCAAGTCCATCTAACTCTTGGAATTTGACAGTTGTCTTCACCGACACCGTTGCAGTTTGGACCGAGGAAACTGCAGCAGCCCGTGTGCAAGCCACAGCGGTCGCTAGGCAAACAACCGTTTGAATTAAAGGCGAAATTTTACGTTATCTGCTATCTGTTGAACAGGCGCATTCCCGTATGTTGTCCTGGGCTGGCGAATATTCGTCAGAGAGCTGACTATTTTAGAAGAGATATTCCCTTCCAGTTGCACGGTTGGACCAAATGATGAGACTTCCTACCCAGGAATCTGTTTGAAAATTCATGAAACTCGCGTTCCACTCCCCTCCCCTCCCCCAATAGCTACAACACTGTAGGGTTTAAATCTTGCTACATAGAAGTCTTGCATGATCAGCCTGTAGGTAGCCTCTTCCCCTCGATTGAACTGAAATTAGGCTGAATGTCTCCTGCATCCAACCATGTTTGTTTCTACCCCAGATGCAAGATTTGCGCCAATAAGTGAGAACAGGGCTAAATCTCGATCCCGTGGCCCACTGGGTTAATGTCGAAGGAGAATATCCGAAGTTTTTTGAAGATCGACAATCGGATACCGTATTGATATTTGCTTGAAAAACAAAGCAAGGGCTTAAAAGAGCATTCTGCTCATATTGCCAGACACCGAACGTCGCCTCCAAGACATCTGGCTTTTTGAGGGCGGTACTCGACTTGAAAAGACTAGAAGACAATGAGCTCATCGTTGCACTCGAAATGGTAGACTGAGCCAGGGAAAGTAAACTGGGTATATGACCTCGCTTATGGTCGAGGGAACCGATTGCACAATACCTATGGAGTATTGAGATAGACATTACCTGTATTATCAAGCTCATACGGAGTAGTTTCACGGCCAACAAATGCCAAGGAGGTAGTAAGGGGTCCAATGTGGCGTCCTTTTAGTTGCTCAACGGGCTCATTGATGTTCACAAATACGTCCCGCATTGGCGGGCTCTATCAATATGGTGCCGCTCATGAGAGATGTCGAGATCAGCTTTGGCCATAGGCCTACGGAGTAGAGGAGGTTGGGAAGATGAAGTTTCTGTGATTAGAAATCATGGAAAGCACCCCTAGGCTGTTTACATGAGGTAATAGGTGTACTGCGGCAGGCACGAGACAGGGTTGGGTGGTTTGCCTTGTCTGCATGATTTGCCTGATTTGCAACGCTTTTATGGCCTTGGGTTTTGTTGTCGGAGCATGAGATCGGCATACCGGAAGTTTAGTTTATCCTGTCTACGCAGTATTTTTGATATTAGTCAGATAGTCATATTTCCTGCTAGAATAGTGGATACAGAAAGACAGAGATTTCAACTCCCTTGATTAGACCCCTACTATACTGAATACCACGTCAGTTAACAGTTATAAGCCCGGTTCGCACGAAATAAGGCCGCTATTCACAAGATATAGCGCCTATCAGCACCTAAAAACCTCTAAAGCTGCACAGTAGCCCGCTAAGGCTATATAGCACCCAACCCCAACAATAGAAGCATCAACAATTCTCTCCGCCACAAAGGGCGAAAAACTGAAGGATTCGCCCTAATAGCGCACCTAGTTCGCCCGGGTAAAGCTATATGCGATATAAAAATAAGTCTAGAAGCACTGTGACCTAGATACCCCCCCGATGGAGAGACTAGTTAGGAAAGAAGAGCCTATTAGGCCGGAATACCCCTACGGAGGGACCGAATCGGATAAAAGAGACTAGAGAGATAAAATAGATATCTTTAAAGTAGACTAATCGAAATAGGATAGGGAGATAAAAGGGCTTTCTAATATAAATAACTATATTTATACCTTCCTAGACCTAATCCACTATACCACTATTACTAACTATTAGACCCTATATAAGAGACTAGTATACCTAAGAGATCGCTTCGCGAGATCGACTATATATAAGAAGGAAGTCCGAATAAAGTAGAAGGTTTTCGCTATCTAAAAGCCGACTAGAGATATCGAATAATAGCTTAAATAATAGAATACCCTAAGGGAGTAAGCTATTAGCCTCGGTATTAATAATAGAGATATAAATAGGGACTTCCTATATACTATTAAAGAGGTCTTACCTATTTAGTGGTAAGGAAGATATTAAGAGATCGTTATAGATAAGAAAGTCTATTAAACCTATAATCTCCTTAAGTCGTTCCGCGTAATAAATCGAGAAATAGGGGTATAAAAGGTATTATCTACTATACCTCTAAAAGGGGTATTCTTAACCTAGTAGGGGCACTAAGAATCAAAGTCCTAAACTAAGGAGCCGATCCTATTTAAAAAGAGGAGGTACCTATACAGGAACCCCTACTATTTATATAAAATAGTAATATACTAGTATCTTAATAAGGAAAACCGCCCTAAAGGGACCTATATTAACCTAAGAAAGCTAGAAAAGATTAAGTAAAAACTCGCTAAAGAGCCTACTTAGAAGAAATAGATAGAAAAGAAGGTAGAAAAGGTATAGTAAACTTAGTAAACTTAGTAAAATTAGTAACCTTAGAAGGAAGAGTTTATAAATTAAGTAAGCTTCGCTACTACCCTTAAGCCCTATACTATATAGTAGGGGGGGCTAGTATAAAACTACGAATATACCCTCTCTCTTACTAAAAATAGAGAACCTATCTTAAAAGATAGATAGATCCTTAATATAGGATCTAGTACCTATATCTATAATAATAGAGACCTTTTTATCGACTTTATATCTTAGATTTCGGATCTTACGACGGGAGATAGTACTACCTAGGTACTAGGAAAGGGGAAGGTTAGACTAGTAGGTAGATATCTAGTAAAAAGCAAAATAGAGATTATACTTAGTAATACCCTCTATTCCCCTAGCTTCTATATAAACCTAGTATCCTATTCTATACTAAAAAGGAAGGGCGGAATATAGTGTTAGCGTATAAACTATATTAGAGACCCTAATAATAGACTAGTCGTCTATATAAATCTTTAGGACTAGTTTAATCTCTAGATCTTTAATTAACCCGGAGAACTTATATAGCCTTAGTAAGCCTATTTTATAGAGAGAAAGTTAGTAAAACCTTAGCAATTAAAGGCCTTATTAGATATCTAGTACCGGAGACTAGCCTATATTAATTAACGAAGTATAGTAAAACTCGCTACTATAGTAGATAGAGTTAGTTTTAATAATAAAGGAAAAGAGTCTACCGGAAAAGAGTCTATAGGAAAGGAGACTATAGAAACGTAGGTATTATACTAGACTTACTAGCTAGATCGTACACTAAGATAGATATTAAGACGAGCTATCGGGCGTACTTTCGGACGATTTAGAAGAGTGCACTTTAATCTTATTTAGCTACCGCTAATAGAGAATAAGTACCGCTAGATCTCTTATTTTTACCTAGAAGGTCCTAGGTTTTATTAGCTAATAACCTATAAAATAAAGCCTAAGTGTTAGCTAGCGATCAATCGCTTTATAGAACTAGTAAGAAACTAATAGGATCTACTAATTAAAGCCTTCTAATACGATAATAAGTCCTTAGCTAGAAAACCTATAGAATATAGCCTTACTTCTAATAGTATCCTTATATATTATAACCCCCTAAGGCATTCCGAAATAAATAGTTATACCGAAAGATTAGGTAGTATAATTATTACCTATATACGTATACTCGTACTTAAAGGAAAACTCCTAAAAGATCTATAGCTAGAGGCCGCTAACGCTATAGTATAGTTACTAAATCGTACGCTAATATATATTACTACCGAAAACCGCTAGGTTATACTATAGGAGGAGGTACGGAAGGAGTTCGTACTATAGGCGCCGAGGATTAACCTATTAAATATTAAACTATATAGAAGTTTAGTATACTATAAGATCGATAAATAGGTCTAGTCTAATAAAATAAACCTACGAGCTAAGATCGGATTCTTAGTTAGCTATATAGTATCTAATATCTAGAAAATCTAGTTTCTATATAATAGGAAAGTGAAGCCTATTAGGGATATAGTATTTAATAAAACTCGTAAATATACCCCTAATTATAATAGATATTAGCTTATTCTAATACTAATATAGTAAGAGCCTTAGGAAATTACTATAGAAGAGTTTAACTAGGTACTTAATCGTGTGATAGCTAGTTAAGAGACTAGCGAAATAGAAGAGAGAGATTATCGAGATCTATAGGAAGCTTAGTCTAATAATCTATAAGAAACTTAGTACTATAATTAGTAAGGATCTTAGTAAGAATCTTAGTAAGGATCTTAATAAGAAAACTAGTAGAATATATAGTAGAACTCTCCGTAGAGGGAGATAGCTAGTAAAGTTAGTTAGCGAGATACTACCCTACTTTAGGGGGTAGACTAGTAAGTAGTCCTACCCTCCCTAAAAACTATAATTATATAGTAAATACCTAAGATCTATAAGCCCCGAGCTCCGCTAGGCGTATTTCCGGACGAACCCCTTCCTCCGCTCCCTATCACGCCGCCGTAAGAACCCTATACGTAGGATCACTATACTACCCCTAGTTAGGGGGTAGATATACTAAAGGATCTAGAGGATCTAGTTAGCGACTAGGCTTAGAATAATAAAGCTATTCCTACTATAGAAGATAAGCTAGAAAATAAGCTAGAAAGATAATTATAGGCGGAACTTCTCGCCCTAAGTAGACAAATTATAGGAGATATTAATACTAGTAATATTATTAGTAGAAAACGAAGACGTTAAGCTAGGTAAGATAAAGACTATATCTATATAATAAGATCTACCGATATAGAGGAAGACCCTTCTATACTACTATATACTTTCGCTATAGGACTATATACTAAGAAACCTAAAATCAAACGTTATTAAGATAATCTCCCCCTAGTCCTAAAATACTATAAAGATATTATAAACTATCTATTTTAGGAAGGCTTTCTCGTAGTAATAAGGAAGGAGATTAACTCTCTAATAGAAAAGGAAACCTATAAGATTATAGAAAGACTAAAGGATAGAGGTAAGTAAATACTACCTCTTATATAGGTATTCACCTATAAATACGATTAGGATAGTTATCTAGTTAAATTTAAAGCTCGTATATACGTACGGGGAGATCTAGAGACTATTTCGCACGAAGAAAAGAGAGCTACTACACTAGTAGTAAGGACTATAAGGATAATCTTCGCCCTTATTACCGTATTTAATCTTAACCTAAGATAGCGGGATACTATCACTACCTTTTTAAATAGTATACTAGAAAAAGAGGTCTATACCTAGATACCTAATAGATTTAGACTACCCGGAAAATACTAGAAACTCCGCCGCGTACTATATAGTCTACGGATCTTACCTAGACTTTAGTAATAGGAAGTAGCTAGTATATTTCGTAAGCTAGGACTATAATAAGCCCTAGAAGACCCCTATATCTTTATTAGAAATAGACTAATAGTCTTTTTCTATATTAATAATATCCTAATTACCTACTATAATAGTAGAGAGGCGCGAGAAAGGGCTATATAGCTAGAACGAGATCTAGAAGTATACTAGGAACTAACCGATTACGGAGAGATAGTATAGTTTCTTAATATCCGTATTATTAGAGATAGGTAGTAAAAGAAACTATAGCTTTATTAAGATAGCTATATAGTAAGTATCGCTATACGATATAATCTTATAGATAGACTAGCGGTATATACCCTAATACCTATCGAAGAGCTAACTCTATATTAGGATATAGCTATAGCCTAAGAGATCCTATTATACTAAAAGAAGGTAGGATCTACTAGATATACTACTACGATTATAAGACTAGATACTATAAAATCGACTACTCGTCTAGTATAATATTTAATAAACCCGGGCCCCTAGCACTATTAAATAGCTAATAGAGTTATTACCTACCTTAATTCTACCCGCTATCTCGCTATTAAATATAGTATAGATTCTAGAATAGACTCTATATAATTTGCTAGTAATACCTTATATAGGGATTATCCCGATAGAAAGAGCTCCGCTAGTTATATCTACTAGGTGTACGGCGGGCTAGTCGACTAGAAGGCTAGTAAGTAGCCTATAGTCACCACCTCTACCACTAAAGCTAAGCTCCTCGGTCTCTTAGAGACTATAAAATAGCTACAATAGTGGCGTAGACTTCTTAATACCCTTAGTTTTGTCCCTTCCTATTAACTAAGCATTGATTGCGATAATTAGCGCACTATCAGTCTTCTAACTAGCGAGGATACGGCGTTCGAGACGAAATTGCGATATATTAATATTTATCGGCACTGGCTTAGATAGGAAGTTAGGGAAGGAAGAATTAAGGTAAAATAGGTGCCGACAGCTAGTATAGCTGTAGACGGACTTACAAAGTTGCTTACTAGGCAAAAGTATGAAGCTTTCCTTAAAATGTTGAGGATGACAGATATAAGCTATCTGATAGTAGGAGCTATTTAACAGTATAGGTCATTTGATTAACAAAGGGAGAGAAATAGTATGCCGACTTAGGTATAGGAAGCAGCTAGACCATACTGGCCTAGCTGAGGGGGTGTGTCGGAGCATGAGATCGGCATACCGGAAGTTTAGTTTATCCTGTCTACGCAGTATTTTTGATATTAGTCAGATAGTCATATTTCCTGCTAGAATAGTGGATACAGAAAGACAGAGATTTCAACTCCCTTGATTGGACCCCTACTATACTGAATACCACGTCAGTTAACATTTGTCATCGGCCTGAGGCATCAGAACGAGAAATCACGGCCACATCGGAGCTCAGCACAGCCACAGAGATCTCAAGATGTCTCTATCTGATGCTTGCTGAAGTTAAGCCGTGTCGCACAGGCTTCGAGCAGAACAAAGATATCACAAACTAGGAGCTATAGAAGCAAGCTAAACCAAGTCCAAACCATAAGCTACCCCTCAAGAATGTCACTTGCTTTCCACAGGTCAAGGCCATCGTTGATCCCATGCTATTTGAATCTCAATTTCTCGGTTTTTCTTCAATTGAACCTTCGAGTCTTCTCAGTTGACGTGTCAGTTGAAGCGTCAATTTAATCAGTGCAATATCTTCTCGACCTCTTCATTCCCGTGTCCTAGCGCTCTTCTCACATAAAGCATCCGTTGCCGTGGTCTTCACCAGTTCGCCTCTCACCAACAATTATCTTGGATTCTGCTCCCTTCCATAATCCTGGAGAAATTCAACAAAGCTCAGCGCCATTTTCATGTGCGAGGTTCCATGCTAGATTCCATCTCGCATCTATCCTCCTTACTCCTCGAAGTTCCGTTACCATTTGACTTGCCAACCAATGCTGAATACGGCTACATCATCTACTGAGCCACGCACCACCTGTTGTTTCTGAAACAATCGAAGGTCAGTACTCTTATGATCTCTCTTCTCGGGATATGGCAGGAGCGCTCGTGCTTTAAATGGCATTCTATCCTAACTTTATCATTGTAGGTATTCTCAAGCGCTCGCTACCATGAAGAACGAGGCCGAGGCTCCTTTGAGCCTTCCAAGCTGGTTTCCAAAGCTTGAGGGTAAATCCAACTGGTCTTCTTGGAGGAAAGGCCTCCAAGAAGCTTTCCAAACTGTGGACCCCATATCCTGGGACATACTCATGAACAAAGCGGGCGACGTCATCAAGCCAGAGCCTATCATTACCACAGATGGGGATAGCTGGAGAGATCAATCCATGGAAAGCTCCATGGGTAGTTCCTTGGACATTGATAGCTCTGATTATTCGGACTCTGAGGTTGTCGAAGTCCACGACGTTGACCAGGCGCTGTTCTCTCAGCGAGGTCCCCGCGTATTCTACCGAGGTCCCACCGAAAATCCACGAATCCTAAATATTCGTGCCCGCGATCTCCTTGTCTCTGGTCTTGGTGAGGGGCCATTGTCAGAGATCCAGCAAGTCACAAATGCACACGAAGCTTATATCAAGCTGGAAAGCCTGTATGGCAAGACTTCGGCTCAGTCCGTGCACATTGCATGGGAGAAGTTCAGCAGAGTTCGTTATTCTACCAGGGGTCTTACCCCGGCTGCATTCGTCGATCGCTTCAAGAAGAGCCTCCAAGATGTCAAAGACCAATGTGTGGAAGTCCCTCCAACCGTGGAGCTTGCCCAGTTTCAACAGGCAATCAAGCCTAATCCGCACTCGACCACATTCATGGCAGATTTGAAAGTGGACATCTACGATCCGAGGCTTATGGAACTGGTCTACCAAAGTTTTTTGAAGAATCAATCGCAATGATGATATTCTCGATTATCTATGTGTACCCCTCTTATGGAGACAGGCCTGTTTAGATGTTCATTATTCATTTTATGATTCCCTACAGCCGTCACCCTGCGTTTTGCTACCTGCATCTGTACTTGTATTCTATCCTCAGTGGCCATTGGTTCACAGAATCCAACAATATCTTTTACCCAAAGTCCTGGGCACGTTTAGCGAAATGGGCGCTATCACCACACTGATCACTGGTTGAGTTTGAACCAGTATCCGCATCATAAAGAATACATAGTTTCTTACTAGATAATCATGGAAATTCCAAATTCTTTACCTTCCAGCATATTGTTTCCTCTCGATTCAAATCTGATGTAGCTGCAATGGCACAGGAGCAAAGTGCTCTACCTTGAATGTCTACCATGTACTCTTAGTTAACCCTACCCCCTCCCAGGTATTATCCAAATACAGCCTAGATGCACACTTGGTGCTGCCAAGCTATTTTATTTATTGATATTATTCAACTACCGTCTATATTAAATCCAGATAACGGGGGAAAGAATAGAAAGGTTGTGTAAAATTCGGTCATTCGCTACAGTATAATGCAGGCAACGCGCTTTGGATAAAATATCCATCCTTTAGAGATCAAGGATCAATGGGAGTCAGGAGATGCCCAGTCGATATATTTAAAGGGGGACTTGGGTTATTTAGAACATATTGTCCTCATAGATCAATTAAATATCTCGCAATTTCTGTTGAGTTTCACTTTCTACTTCTTACCAGATAGATCTGAGATCTTCTGAAATTCCGACCTATCAATGAACAGCCTAAGGATCTTCCTTCTTCATATAACCGTATAGCTTTATTACGGTAGCCCATTGGCATATGCTATCAAGTCTCTTTTTCTTTCTGGAAACCCTCACGTCAACTGCTTAAAAGGCCCAGCCAGAGCATCGTTGATAGTGATAGAAAGGCGAAAACACCATTTGGGACTGATGACTGAGGCTATCTAGTGGACTTTGGTGATTTCCTGCAGTTTGTCTGCAGATCGTCCTCTCCATTGCCAGATTACCCCCCGTCGCTTTGACAAGCCGGTTTATCGACCTGCTACTCCTTTCTATGCGGCAAAAAGCGATCGATATCGATGTGCCAGCTCGAAATCATTTCTGGGACACAGCCTTTTTCCTATCAGCCATCCGATTACAACTACCAAACTCGATAGTTCCTGCTTGTCAACGATCGTCCTCTCCGTACTATCTCGTCACCCAACCATCAAAAACTCGTCGGACTGCGGTTTTTCTTCTCTTCAAATCCACCTTTCCTACGACTACAGGCCTCAGTTTAACTTCTGCTCCCTGTTCTATCGCTTTCCTACCCTCCACTCTCATGGCTATCAAATCAATCATAACAGATGGTGCGTGACACTGACCGTTCTCGTGTAATCTGACGCAGCAACACTGTTTCTAATCATTTCCAAACAGGCAAACTCTCATCCGATTCTCCCACAATGAAGCTCATCCCAAACAGTATCGCCGTGTTTGTCCCAGTCTTGCAAGGTGCTTCGAACTGGAAGACTTGGCAGGAAAAGTTCCAAACTGTCACCCGCACCACCAATCCACTCTACTGGGAAATCTTCATGGGAAATCTGACTGTTCCTGTCTACGATCCATACACTTCAGTCGCGATTGACAAAATGGCTAGCAAACATAAACTTCCAGCAGAAGTCTTCACGCGCCCGGTATTCGAGGCGTACCTAGAACTCGACGATCTAATTAAACAGCAGCTACGTTCCGACTACGATGCCTCGGTAGAAATCTGGAACTGCCATGTCACAGGGGCTCGCGACTACCTGACGTTCGCTCTTGGGGAGAAGCCTGCTCTTCAAATAAAGGAAATTGCTGATCCCCGCACCGCATATCTGAAGTTGGAGGCACTTTACTCCAATTTGCAGATCAAGCCGAACTTCAATGCATGGAAAAAATGGATGAATCTTCGCTATGAGCGTACCCATCCCGTGGCATTCGTTCGTCGATTCAAGAAGCTTGTACGGGATGTCCGAGACCAAGGTATTCAAGTCAGTGGTGATGTTGAGCTAGCTCAATTCAGATCGGTCATCATGCAGAGGCCAAGCTGCTTGCAATTTGCAGCCAACCTGCGTGTCGATTCCCAAATGGATGATCACATGAATTCCGTCTACACTCGGTTTATCCGACAACAGCTCTATCAAAAGTAAGTTTGTTTAAATCCGATAGGCTCAGGTTCTTTGGATTTGTGATGCTGGAAATTTCGCAATGATACCTCGCTCTTTGCTTTTTCTTTGTTCATTTAGATACCCTGTCCCCAGGAAGTACGACAGAGAAATCTTCCATCTTTACACCAAAACGGGTTGTGTTACCTGAAGGCCAGCATTCCATGCAGCCCAACTTGGCTGTCCTATCGAATCATTTGCGGCTTGAAGTCCATCTCTGTGTCTTGACATATCGATCAGCCGTTTTATGGGTATGATTTCAAGGTTAGAATGAATATCATCCAAGATTACTAGAATGAGGTTATCAGCCCGAGGAATGAGATACAACTGCATTCATTGAATTCTGTGTAATATGTCTAATGATTGGTCCATATCAGGGGCTCGTAGACTAGCACCTCTAACGCTCAAGATTATTGGCACTTTTATCATGGATGGCATAAAAAGCTATAATGCAAGATTATTTCAGCTAGAACAACCATTCAAGTCATGCCCATGAGAACAAAAATTCGAGAAAATCCTAATCAAAATACTGTTCCACATATTTGTTCTTACTGCATCAAAAAGATCCATATCAATCTCCTTTCCACAAAGGCAGGTCCTAACCAGCTAGACATTGCGTATGAAACCGCTGCAGGGCTTTCACATGCTCATGACACTGTGATGGTTGATGATCCACTGCTCTCGTATCCCTCAGTGTTAACGATTTGATAGTTATGGGAGCCAAGGCTCATTCCAAGAGAAGCCCAAGCGTTGAAATGGTTGGCGGTTGTGACTGTTCCGCTAGTGCGCTTGGTTCGACGAATTGACCAGTACTGATCGAAGGTTGCAGTTCCGACAATGGAGGGCTGGTTCACCTGCTGGTGGGTGTAGATGTCGTAGACAGATCCGTCGCTGGTCACGGTTCCTTTGTAAGTCAGGCTGCTAGAGGGGTTATAGGTCCCATAACTCTCCAAGATGTAATATTCGACAAGAGGGCTCGTCGTCCAGCCGTAGACAGCGAGGTAAGCGTTACCCGAGGGGTTGAAGGAGCCGGAGAAGTTGATGTTCCTGTAAAATCATATTCTTCAGTAAATAGTCAATCGAAGATTAGATGGGCCTAACAAGCTGAACATACCGAGAAGTGCCAGTAGCCCAGCCTTTACCGGAGGTAAAGGATCCACAGTTTGTCCAGCTTACGCTGTATTGACCCGAAGCACCGTTGGTGTAAGAAACACTGCCACCCCCGTTGGTCCAGAAGGAATAGAAATAGCCATTGTTCGTTCCTTGCTCGCTATCGGTGATGCTTTCTCGCTTTTCCAAGTCGCTGGGGAGCGCAAAAGCGCTCACAGCTGCGCAGGCAGCCACGAAGAGGTTTGAAAGAGAGACCATGATGAAAGCTCAGGTTTTGGGAATAGGTTGAAAAGAAAAAGTGAAGGTTCTTGTCTCTTCATAGGCACCTTCGTTGGGAAAGGATGTTCCTTTTATATTGCCCAGCTCGTGTGGGGCAAGTGGGTTCAAACAGTTTCATGCCTCGAATGTCTTATTTTGATTTATCCAGAAAGCCATTTATCCCAAGCTCGTCTGAATTGAACTGGCTACAGCCTGGTCGAAATTTCTACCAAGTGTCGGCAGTAGTTCATCACATTCTCTGTTACGGGACTGGATCTTCAAATCTTGCAACCAGGCTAAAGCCCGATTCTCCGGTAATTTGAAAGAGGACTGGCATAAACTCCGGAGACGGCTAAACTTCGCAAATATAAACAAGAATGGCTGAAGAATTCAGCCACAAGCGCAGGTCAAAATGCGGGGGAATCAATCCACTACGGTTGTAACGGGTGTAGCATGGCTCAACCCAGGCTAAACCCAACATCAGGCTGTTTGGAAGCCGGAAAATAAAGGGCTACCCCGGATGATTCTGTCCTCAGATTACCAGAGAAGTTGATATAAAGTTGCGGACAAAAGATCCCATTTCCATAACTTCAGGCGGCGGATCCATGGACCAATAAACGCTTATCTTGACATTCGGTGCGGGCCAACCGAGATAAGATTTTAGATGATTCTCCTATGAACTCAGAAGGAAACTTTCGGGAACTATTATGATGAATTTGTTTGATGCACACCTATTACCACGGCCAGACCAGTTGATCTGATCTTCGTATTGCTCGACTTGGTTAGTCCTTGCGAGAGGGCTGCCACTCTTGGAAATTTGTAAAAGGTACACGAACTAACTACCCTCAAAGGCATAATGTGTTGCTTTTTGTAAGCTTCTTCTATTTTATACTCTGCATATTGCTCTAAATCCCCTTAGTTACAATGCAAGTATCCACTGTTGTTTACTATGATAAGAAAATGGATGATGGTGAAAACTCCTCGCCCATGAGTTACGTAGTAGTCACCCCAAATATACTCATTGGCCTATCTCATACTTAAATACAATATTTGTCGAATTTTTGATAGAACATTATGGGCGTATTCAATACTCCGTATAGATTAGTCATTCTAGTGTCAACTATTGGACCTTTGCCCTGCGCGTGGCCTAGCCCTAGAAGCCTTGATGCTTGGCTTTTTTATGAATGAATGCAAGGCCCCAAGTATTAGAACTAGCATGGATAGACAGTCTGGATGCAACTCTAGCCGGAAGCTTTACAGAGTGACAGGGTTTATTTTCCTATGTTCCAAAGGTCATCAGGGCGTTATGAGCTCAGAGATCAGATGCCATCCTCCCCTTGCAGAGTGCCTTTTCGTAAAATATATGTAATTTTCCTTATGTCTCATACATTGCCACCTCACTCCTGCCGGATAAGCCGACTCCTGACTGTGGCGAGTATAACACCGTTGCAACCTCGGCTCTAGCTCCAGTGCGCCTCGATTTTCCCCATACTCGATATTGACGCAAGGAGTGACACCTTGCAACGAACCCCTGTCGGCAATTTCGTCTGAACGAGGGTGTAGTGCTACTGTGACACTTCTTTTCTTAGACTAGCCAGTGCTTGGCCGGCTGTAGGGCCTCAAGCCTTGCAATAACTGCCTGCCGTTCGGTCATCAACACAAGACTCTCTAGCCACATTCCAGACCTTCTGCTGCATGACCGGTACCAAGCTGTGTATTGTTGGTTTTTGTGCACCTTTTCAGCTCCTCTGTATGGCTAATGCGTCTTGGATGCAACCATTAGCACTCAACTAAACACCATCTCCTTTGTGGCTCGGGATTCATATAAATTGAATATAACCTGTCTATTCGGAGATCATCACCGTCGGTCTAAGCTGTTGTTGTCATTCTATATGATATTTTATATCTGTCAGCATGAGATCTGCTTCTTCTATTGCTAAGAAGGTACTTGGCTTACACGATCCTCCTCGTCTACATAATAAAGATACACTACCTCACGAGCTTGATCCGACCGTTTTGGAATGGTTAAGCGATATCCTGCCTTCTGGATCGCAGGTTGGGCAATATTTCACGGGGCTATTGCCTTTCACGCAATGGATTCGACACTATAATTTTCAATGGTTTTTGGGAGATTTAGTCGCAGGTATGTCCTTATCATTGACTTGGCCTTGCACACCATCACTCCTGCTAAATGCTCCAGGTATAACTGTTGGGGCTGTTGTGGTCCCTCAAAGTATGGGATACGCCAAATTGGCTAATCTTCCTGTGCAATATGGGCTCTATACTTCTTTTATGGGAGTACTGATCTACTGGGCCTTTGCAACGTCCAAGGACATCACGATAGGGGTAGGTTAGCTAGCCAACGCCACACTAAATGCATAAGCTAACAAGTCATTAGCCCGTTGCTGTCTTGTCAACGCTTGTCGGAAGCATCATTATGGACGTCCAAAGTGTTCGACCCGACATTCCAGGACCTCAAATTGCTCTATCAATTGCCATGATGTGCGGAAGTGTCGTCACATTCATGGGTCTGGCTCGGCTAGGCTTCATTGTCGACTTTATCCCTCTTCCTGCTATTTCAGCCTTCATGGCTGGCTCCTCCATCACCATATGCTCTGGACAAGTCAAGCAGCTGCTGGGCGAGACAGCAAATTTTAACATCGGTGCTCCTGCATATCGAATAATCATCGACACGCTCAAATCTCTGCCCACAGCTCAAGGATACGATGCTGCAATGGGTGTGACCGCGCTCGCAGCTCTATACATCCTCCGATCAGCGTTTAACTATGCCTCCCGCAAGAATCCACGCTTTGCGAAGCTGTTCTTCTTTCTCGGTGCTTTGCGCACAGTGTTTGTGATCATTCTTTTTACTTTAATCAGCTTCGCCGTCAACGCGCATCGCCGTGAAAATCCCGCCTTTGCTTTGGTCGGAACTGTGCCGCGGGGATTCGGGCACACAGGTGTCCCTATACTGAGCGCCGATGTCATCAAGCTCTTCATCTCCAAATTACCCGCTTGTGTGATCGTGGTCCTCATCGAGCATATTGCAGTTGCCAAATCTTTCGGACGTGTTAATAACTACACGATCAACCCCTCTCAGGAGCTCATCGCCCTCGGCATCACCAACCTCTTGGGTCCGTTCGTTGGCGCTTATGCAGGGACAGGCTCATTCTCACGCTCGGCTATCCAATCCAAGTCAGGCGCACGCTCTCCATTTGCTGGTATCATAACCGCCAGTGTCGTCCTGATTGCCATGTACGCTCTTACTGCTGGGCTATACTATATTCCCAAAGCGACACTATCAGGTGTGATCATCCACGCAGTCGGAGATATGATCGTCCCGCCCAACACCATCTACCAATTCTGGCGCATCTCCCCCTTAGACGCCATCATTTTCGCAGTCGGATTGATCGTAGCCTTAGTGAGCTCAATTCCAAACAGCATCTATGCAACTGTCTGTCTCTCAGTGGCAATCCTATTATTCCGCCACGCAAAGGCCCCAGGCCATTTCCTCGGCCAAACCTGGATAAGCGATGGAACCACTCAACGTCCTCTCTTCTTACCTATCAAGGACGCAGAAACAGACCCATCTATCAAAATTGAGAGACCACGCCCGGGTGTTTTCGTCTACCGCTTTTCCGAAGGGTTCAACTACCCCAACGCAAGCCACTACTCAGATGGCCTTGTCCAGACAATATCCAAGCACACGCGGCGCACGAATGCCGAGGCATACGCCAAAAAGGGTGATCGTCCTTGGAACGATGCGGGCTCTTCTAGCGTGGATGACTCCCATCTTCCGATACTGCGAGCCATCATCCTTGATTTCTCGGCTGTTAACAATGTCGATGTGACTTGTATCCAGAACCTAATTGATGTGCGCACTCAGCTGGATCGCCGATTTGCACCTGCTGTTGTGCAGTGGCATTTTGCAAATATCAAGAATCGGTGGACGAGACGTGCTCTAAATGCCGCGGGATTCGGGTCCATGCCCTTGCATCATGTGGAGAGTGGAAGCACTGATAATGCCCAGGAACCAGATTTGCAAGGCTGCAAGCAACCTTCAGATGAGGAAAAGGGTGGAGTGGAGATACCCAGTGTCTCAGAGGCCAAGCATTGGCCATTGTTCCATCCGGACCTAACAAGTGCGTTACAGACTGTGGATGCATATTTAGGCGCGGATCCTGCAAGTTGAGAGAGATCAGAATACTATAAAAATTGTTGTGTCTCAAAGGAGGATATGTGCATTGCGGTCAGTCATAAATAGTCACTTCATATCTTGTGCACGTACAAATCGAGAGAAAATAATGCCATATGGGTTATCACCCTAACGCCAACCGGAAATATCGCAAGAAACGCCAATATGCAGTGCTGTACAGTGTGGGAAAAAAAAATGAAAAAATCACAAAAGGAGTCCAATATCGAGCACCATCAACGCCTGAGTAGCCAAGTGTCATAGGAAATACCCCGTGGCCGGGTCTTTCCATTCCGATCAGTAGAGAACAAGACCGGCTCGAAATCACAAGCCGCAGCATATTGACGAATCAACTGGCGCCAGTAGCATGACTCCGCAGCAGGAGTCAGGTAACGATCACGGAACGTGCGCACCGCATTATTCGCGATACGCTCCGCAGTCTTGGGGTTATCAATAAGATGATCCATTTTACGCATGAGATCAGACCAATCCCGGTCAACCTCGACGTAATTCGCATCCGGTCCGGTGGCAATGAGTGCCGCGTGATGAGCTTCACGCCATTCAAGCGCATGCGAGATAACAACAGAACGGCAGTTCAGAAGATACTTGCCGCGACCAGAGAAGCTTCGACCCTCAGTGTGCGCGAGAAACATGTACCGGCAGTGGTCCTCGATAGGCAGGAGATTGAAACGAATATCATTTTCATCGTCCCAGTCAATGACACGCACGCTCGCCCAGCCACTACCCTGCACAGACTTGAGCAGCTTGCTCCGCACGGGCGGGTTGGTTGCCAGACTGCCGCGCCACACGAGCTGTTTCTTCTTCTCTTGGAACGGTAACCCTGGGATGTACGTGCCATCTGCCGCAGTATGGCCGTCGTCGATTGCGGCAATGCGGCGCCGGACTTCATGGTACGGCCCGATCTGCACCTCCGGCCAAGCCCAGTATCCGAAGTCTGGCATCAACCAGACTGATGTATCCGAGTCACGTTTTGAGTAGGCCCAGATGGGGCTTGGGCCAGTTGTATCCTCAGCGAAGTCTTCTGTTGTGAAGATGAACTCGATACTCGGTAGGAGGTGACGGTTTGGGAATGCTGTCAGGGCACGGTGAAGAGAGCTTAGGGTAGCCCGTGCGCGAGATGCTGTAACTGGCATGGAGGCGTAGTCGACGATATACAACTTGATAGAAGATGTCAGAACCGGGTGCGCTCAAGATCACGAAGGGCAATGATCTACTTACTTCTCCCTGATCAATGATCCCCCGCACCATGCCATCGTCTACAGTCCGTGAGTCTAGCTCCACATATGAGACACGCTTCTCCGTTCTCAAGGAAGATGACTTGTCAATTTCAGCAAATAGCTTTGGAAACGCAGTACGGCACTGGTCCTCGGAGAGCCCGTGATTGTTGCCATCGCGCTCGACAATGAAATCCCAACCCGCGGACGAGTTCACAGGTGGCGCACAATATTGCGGTCGGGGATGTGTCTTCATTTTATATTGTGATGAAAGCCTGTAGGATGGCCCAGTTGCGAACACAAGGAATGCAAGGATGAATAGAGAGACCGCGGCGCCGGTGGCCAAGAAGCGGAATGAAGGGCGTTGAGTCAACATTCTTTCCAGAACAATTCCGGATTCTCCCTCTTTGTCCAGATTTGTTTAACAGCGGTTTCCGACTTGAGGTTCCATCTGGGTTCAGAGGGTCGAGTATTTCGGTACTTGATGTCACTGATCGCGTTGTGTCAACCCTCGATTGTTCCCATGGCAACGCGGCTCTAGATGCGCCGAGGTTTTGATATCGGGGGCTAGATCTTAGTCCGGTTACGAATGAAATGGATGTCGCTTCTAATTATATCGTCCAATACATCTTCATCTAGCCAACCCCATGCCGCTGGCTCTATGTACATATGTATGTTGTACATTTAAGTATCAAGGAGTGTTCCATCACGCAGACATGTAGGCCAAATCGCATGGAAGTTTTCTTCTTACAGGGCCAAAGCGAGCGAGGCTGTGTACAATCAAATGTTTAGTCCCAACTATATCGGATTAATATGTACATAAGATAGGGAGTGCCACAGCGAGTCGATATATGCAAGGGGTATCTCAACAGGTCATGAAAGGAAATGGGAAAACGAAATGAAAAAGTAGGTAGAATTACACCCGTAGTATCATAAGACGTGAAACAGGCGAAGCACGAAAATTGAGGCCACTGCAGAGACACGTATGGTAGTTCAGAGGAATATTTTATTCCAATTAGTTGCCATTCATGGGTGGACGGGGACTGTTGCTGTTGAAGTAGCTCTCGTCTATCTTCAAGATCCATTCTACCTTCTGTGCCTCAGTGCGTGTAGCGAAGAGGAAGGTGTTCTGGGTTCCATAGACTGCGAAGATATTCGGCCGTCCCTTGGCAGATAGCGAACGGTCGGCTCCAGCTCCTGAGCCGTCTAATAATCTTGCGAAGTCGGGCGCATGATCGACACGCGCATTGCGGAGGTTGATGGCGTTGATCTCGTCTCCCTCTGGGACCGAGTAGATGTGGAGGTACGGCCGGCGGAGCTCCACGAAACGACGCACCCAGACGTTGTTGGTGTCATCGGGAGTAAGCACATAGCCTGTCTTTAAGGCGTCTGGGGCTTTGGGAAGAGTTTGGATGGTTGCTATGAAGCGAGGTTTGAGTGAAAGCCTGTCAGAGAGACCGTTCATATCCGAATTTTGCGGTGCGCCGCTCCATCCGTAGGAGGTTCAGTATTGCTCCGGACGAGAATGGCCTCCGTTGGGTCTTGTTTCAGCGACCACAAATCAAGATACTTCCGCAGCAGTTTGGATTTACGCTCATTGAGATCTGTACCCCGCATTGGAGTCGACCTTCCACTGCGAGCTGGAGAGGGAATCAAACTACCTGCACTGAGAGCACCTCGAGCAGCGTGAAGCTCTGCCACCCGCTGCCGGCGTTTACGGTTGGCAATGTAGTCTCGTACGAGAGAGACCTTTCGAGGAGCCCAGGTGGTCAAAAGCTCCTCTCCTTTGACATAGTCATTTTGCGTATTCATGCGCCACAGATCAGCAGCGCGCTTGGCTGAGATGGGCCGAATGACCAAAGAATACATCCGAGTTGTTGAGTGCACAACACGGATAGAATTCCAGAATTGTTTGAACATCGACTGCTGGCGAACGTAGGTACGACCTTGGATCTGGATCGTCTGGTCTGCCTCGAACACGACGGGATTTTGTAAACGGCTAGAGACAAGATCCCAACGCAGAGTCACCTGAACCCGGTATTTCTCTGCAGTCACTCGGTCAAGCAGCAAAGATCCGTGAAGACTCGAGTCCCATTGGCCCACGATTGTGACGTTGGAGGTTCCATCTGCATTATCTCTGACCATCGGGTCTTGAACAAACTTCAGAGGGACGTCGGGAGTCTGGAAATCTTGATCTGGGATCTTGCCCCAAGGGTCAAGCAGGCGAACAGATCCTACTCGGGCATTGTTGATAGCATCCCACGGAAGGCTTTCCGTCGAGCTGTATGTCATATTGATGGAAATGCGGCGCTGCAATCCCTGATGAAGCTGGGATGTCCCCGCATCAAGGCTGCTACTCTGAACAACCTCCACGGGAAGATATTCACCAGATTCTGCCATTTCCAGTATTTGAATTCTAGCAAATACATCATGACGTTCCTCGGAGTAGAATTCGGATTCGGCAATGCGAGGAGCAGTTCGTTTCTGGGGTAGAGGCTCCGCTGAGTCACGCATGTCGTCCCAGCTAAGCAGCTTGTCGAGGTGAACAGATGTCACACCAGCATAGACACAGACCTTCAAGGCAGCTGTCCGTGGGCTGGACAACGGCAAACTCATGCTGTGTACACTTTCAAATCGGACTGGGCTGTCCTCGAATCCTTTGATCATTTGAGTTGTAGTTGCGCCTCCTTCCTCTGAAATACCTGGGACAAACAACTGCGCGTGTACATCCGACCCTTCCCACTCCGCGAACCCGACCATGTCCCGCATGACAACGTTGAACTTAAGTGTTGAGGAAGGCGCCTGCGCGGAGGATGGTTCAAGCGAGAGTCGAATGATTCCAACAACACTTTGGGTGTATGGAGAGGTTATTTCGACAGAAAAGTCTTGCACACGAGTCTCAAAAACAGCCGTCAAGGGTATGTCGGCGTCACCGACAAGAGAATATTGGGGTGAGCAAGGCTCAGAAAATGGATTATCGAGCTTGAAGTGTTGGATATAGTCGGGGCGGTCAATGTACTGATGCAACTGCCGCATTGCTTGGACACGGCGCTGGAGCTTCTCAATTGACCATAAGTGGATCACGCACTGTTTATAGTCAATGACGCGAACTCCGACACAAGGCTTCTTGGCCTCATCAAGAATGATGTCCTCATCGCCGGCAATTCCGTTCAACACAAGATCATAAGACGATTCCATGTTGTGGCCATGGTCGACAATAGCAAACTGGAAGACCACATGCTTGTCCATGATATGGCTCATAATCTGCGCCTCTTTCAGGAGAGAGGCATGTTGGAGAATCTTTTCGGCCATTCGTACGTAATTGCGCTGAGACCAGTGGGTATACACTGACCGTGCAATCTCAAGTTCATGCTCGTCTAATCGGGCAAAGCCATTCTCGAAGATCTGGGGAACGGGTTTGCCCATGTCTCGGATATGAGATTCGAAGGACTCCTTTTGCTTGCGAAGTTGCTCTTCAAATTCCTCCTTAGCGGCCTGCAGTGCATGTTCCATACGCTCTTTCTCGGTACGTAGCTCCGGCGAGTCTGGGTCGGATGAAGCCTCCACAGTCTTGAGTTTCTCTTGGAACTCTTCCTTGCGGCGATCCAGCTGCCGCTGCATGTCCTGTCGAGCTTGGTTGAGTGATGCGACGCCATCTACTTCATCGTCGTCGTTCTGCCGGGGCGTGCTTGGCATGGTTATCGCGGTGTCTAGTGAAAAATTATCGATGGTCCCGTTGGACATGTACTTGTCTCGAATGGGGAAGGAGCTGATGGAGTCTGAATCCTCTTCTTCCGCAAGTCCACGTCGTCCCGCTCGAACCTTTTGCACATCTTCCAGCAGTGTGTCCAATTCATCATCAGGCAAATTCGAGATTTGGTCCGGTCCAACCATGGCACTGACGGCTTCTCTGCGGGCTAAGAACCAGTCTGACTCACGGCTACGCTGCGAGGGCATAGGTGAGTCCGCCCTGTTAGATTCACCATCGATGTCTGATCCGGCCTTACTTAAATTTCTATCATGCGTTTTGTTTGGCGCTGGTGACCCAAGCTGGCTCGTGGTGACGGAATGGCGAAGTAAACTCTGCTCGACACGTTCTGCCCTGGCTTCTTGGGGATGATTGAAACGGAAGATGTGAAAATCACCAAGGATGATTCGGAAACCACTCTTTAATCGTGTCGGTTTGTCGACTCGCATGCCATTAACCATAATAGCAGCACCTTCGGTCGGTACGATGGTCACGATATTATCAGCATTCTCGAATGTGCAGTGCTTTTCAAGAATCTTAGATCCGTTCAGTCGGATCTCGACAGTTTGATTCTGATCCATATGACCAACCGTAGTGGTTCCAGGTTTGATATTGTAAACCAAACATTCCGCAAGAAGCGGATCATCGCTAAGGTTGACCAAATGTGGCATTTTCTTCGGCGTGCTCATTCCAATAAAGCCTTTCTCAATATTGATTCCCAGTTCCTCCAAAGCTGCTTCACGCTCCTTGTGGATTTGCTCCGTATTCTGCAATTTCTCCTCCCAAGTCTGATTGAGATCTTTGTACAACTTCTCACTCTGGTTAAGCTGTTCTACAATCTCAGCCTTGCTGACTTGGGTAACACTTCCATCCGGCTGCTGAATAGAGACCATTTGCTTCTCTAACGGTGTGTCGGGAGGGTAATATTCCTGGGGTGCACCGCCACCCACGGCACCAGCTGCCCCTCCAGGTCCAGCTCCACCCCCAAGTTTCGATCGCAGCTGTGCGAGCTCCTCCTTGAGTTCGCGAATCATGCGGGCATTCGGATCTTCGTTGACAACAGCATGGTTCTTGATTCGTTTGGCTGAATCGGCATATCGCAGCGTACCAAGAGTTTCGTCAAAATTAATATCTGCAGGAGAAATTGCGGCGATCATAGAGGTCATGGAATTTCCACCCAGGGAATCCTTCAGCAACCATGTCAAGATTGAATCACGATATGGTACCATGGACGCATTCTTCTTCTTGCCGGCAGACACATCAGCCAGCGCGGCGATGACACGACCAAGTGTTGACAACGAACGATTGATCTCTGCACCTTCCTTCAACCGTGCACCAGTGGCTCCAGTTGAGTTGGCTCTTTCTGAACCAGCCAAATCGACCAAACTAATTTTCGAGACCTTCTCGGTATCCATCGAGGTCTCGGCATCATGTCTTTTTTGTGTCAAGGTCAGGGTGAAAACGGCATGCGATCGACTGGAAGTCTCGTTCATGTTGGTAGCGGCCACCGTTCGAGCTTTGTTACCCTCGTCCATCAGGTTCTCGATTTCCTCGAAAGTTCCAACAACAAGCTTCGCTAGATCCTCAACGTATGGGCCCGTTGACGGATGCTCACGGACTTTAAGGTTACCCTTGTTTGACGGGTTGAGCAAATCGCGTACCCGCTCGTTGTAGATCTCGAGGTACGACACCTCAACGGTGCAGTTCAAAGACTTGTCCGCCTGGATCGACTTGATACGCTCGAACATCGACTGGCAGATTCGTGGGATGACACCGTATTCTTTACCATATCCCATCATAGAGTATGATTTTCCTGAACCGGTCTGGCCATAGGCGAAGATACAGTTGTTGTAACCCCCAAAAGCATTGTCAAGAAGGGGAGAACCCAGATCGTCGAACAGGTCATCTTGACCAGCGTAGTTTGGGGACTTCTTATCAAAGGACCAATATGAACGGTCAAAGGCGAAGACCTTATTTCCTTCAATGGCACCCTTCCCGCCCTTCCGTGCTTTCTCCTCTGCGCCTGGTGGGGGTGTGAGGACGGTCTGCGATCCTTTCATAGACACAATACATTTTGCGCCGCGTTCAATCTCTGTGTAAAGACAGGCTAGTCAGCTTCAAGCCCAAAGGAAAGCTCCTCCCTCAATGTCCACTCACCTCGACTATTGAAAGGCCGGACTCGCACCACCACCTTAATGTTTCCACCACCGCCTGGAGCCATATTTTCTCTCTAACCCATGCACGGGGGATCGTTGTCAACAATGGACGTGTGTAGAAACCGAAGTCCGAAAGTGGGACGCAAGTGGTGACAGGGGTACACCGATGCGCAAACTCCGCGAGGAGCGCGGACTGAATGGCTGTCGCAGGGGAATTAGAGTGGGTTTGAGTGTGTCTAGGTCGCTTATGGTGGTTTCGAAGTGGTTTGCAGCGATATTCGAAGCCGTGGGTGTCAACAAAGACGTCATGTATCGGTTCAAGATGAATGTTGCGCGTCCGTGATGTTTTTTTTGTGGGGGACGTCTTGCAAGGTGCGGAGAAGCGTGGATCTTGCAGTTTTGAATGTTTGCCACCGAGAGAAACCAGCCCACAGAGTCGGTTTTCTCGAGGCACAAAGGAGAACAAAATGCGATTGTGGTCGAGGCAACACCATGCGGAAAAGCCACTTGATCCCCCGGGCCCGGAGCGGGAGGTGATGAGTAAGCGCTCCACCGCCACTCGTGGAACCATCCATGGATAGACTGGTCACTGTACTCCGTAAGGGGCTGAGGACTTCAAGGGATTAAAGAACAAAAGGAGGGACAAGAGATATAATACATTTCAATGCAGACTTCTAGCCTTATAAGCTTTTATATATGGTATATCACTAATATGAGATTCTCAACAGGCATCTCCTCGTTCTTTCATATCAGTTCACTGGATATTATCTCATCGGCCAATTTTAGAACGATGTCTTAATATTCCCAATACAGAAGAGAATGAGCTTGGTGTGTTAACCCAGTATTTTCTTCCACAGGTTATGAGGATCTCACAGAGTATAGTCGCTTGGTGCAGATGTTGAAGTTCTCCACCCAAGTTCTTCGGTATTCTCGACGCTCTAGTCAATGAGCAAATGCTTTATGCAATAGCTGAGAATTGGACCATCAACTCTTTATAAAATTCCAACTGAGAATTTTCTGGTGGCTGGTTTATCATGTTTCTCATCAAATGCATCATAGGCGCTCTCTATTGAGGTGATTCGTTGCGGGTATCATTTACGATCATAGAGTTCCGACATAGATATCTCATACTACCTACATGTACTGAGTTGTCCGTGCCCTATTACAACTTCCGGGTCTCTGTATACATGTATGTTGTATATTACCTAGGTATATATCGCAACATGCGAGTAAATAGAATAGTAGGTAAAATACACAGCGCAGTCTTGTTTGGTTCAAAATTCGCTCCAATCTTTGGTTGATAATCAAAAACTCTTACTGAGCGGCTCTGCGATCCTTTGAAGCCTTTCGTCCGAAGAGGGACAAAAACAACTAACTTTTCACCATTCACTTGCCGCATTTCGATCCCTCTCATATTCCGAATCATATTCATTCTCCACTGACAGCTTAGACTATGTGAGCTTGTCGAGATCACCCCGGGCCTGTTCCGTCCACAGGTACCCAGATGTGTCCTCATTTCGACGCGGCCTTATTATTTAATACATTCCCAATATGATACCCCGAGTCTCTTACTTTCAGCCAGTTTTTACTTCCGTACTCTAGGACATTTTTCCCTTGGCCGTCTGAAGAACCACCGCGAAATCGATCCATAGATAATTCATGTTGCTTGGTAACAAGTATGTTCATGTACCTGTGCGCGTATGTCTTGCTCCATGGCTTTTAATAAGATAGATCAGCTCTGCTCAGTTCTAAATTAATAGCGACCTATATGTCCTGTTGTTGTCGTCAATGTCCCTAGGAGAATCGTGCGAGTCCATTGTGCCCGTCACGTGTGAGCAACCAGGATGCTACTGCTATATTCTTGATTGAGCTATTAATCTTAAGCCAATGATGGCTTCTGCCAAAAGGGAAAAGCTGTTCGGCTAGACAATATTCAATTTTTATAGTGTAGCTTACTCGATAGGGCTTGTTCTGTCATTGTGTAAAGGTTACATATATATATCTCGGAGGAATGTAGATTCTTACGCTGCCAAGACCCCAACTAATAGTCAAAATCAACGTTCAAAGAGAGATGAAACGTTTTATGATACCAAGAAAAATATTCCCTTTGAAAGTAGCTATGAACAAATAGAATCTAGAGGTCCCAGACTACAACATAGGTCTCTATCGCTCCGAGGTCGAGCGGTCAAGCTTCTCACACGTGGGTTCACGGTCCGGAGATCAGACCCATCTATTCCTGCGAATCGGGGTTATCGCCTGCGCTGAATGGCCCATGGGAAGCTACTAAAGCCGACTAGAATGCACGTGGGGATTGACCTAGAAGTATATAAAAAGCACAGGACTATATATTAGGTCACAACACATTGTTTGGAATACTGAAAGTTCCATGAGAATAATCATGCTTGAGAGGCCACGGTGAAGGAGAACGACATATCCGAGGTAATAATAACGCAAGGTGGAGATCCCACCCGGAGATATCAAATTTACGGTGAGCTGAAGTGCTTCGACCGCCAGTTGAAATGTTCAAGAATAGCAACAATTCCCTAGAACCTTGGAAGGACGGTGTACTTCTGTTATCAACATGGATACGGAGTACGAACTCGGTTGATGGTGTATTGCGTCATGACCTCGGCTCGACACGAACACTATTGTCACCTTCATTGTGAGGGTCCCTAACCGAGTTACTCCGTACCTACATCAGGGAAGCAAACCTCGTGTTTTTTTTTTTCTTCAGCCTCTACATTTAATTACGCAGTATTTCCTGACCGGCGCCAGATCGACGGTATTGGTGTCAAATAATCCCGTCACTCCCGCCCAGATCACAATATTGCCGCCCAGGGAGGTGATTTCATTGCCGCCACCCAAGATATCTCATCACATTCCCTGGAGGAACGTAAATGGGGTGAATAATTGACTGGACAAGAATTGTCTTCTGTTTTATGGAATGCTCGTTTCCCCAGAATGTACGGAGTACACCGTACTCCGCAAGAGCTTTGAAGCAAGGATTATGGGCGGGATGGTGCATGAAGAGGAAGAGACTTCCCCAAATAGGGCACACGGCCGAGATACGCGGTCCACCGAGAGCAGCGGAAAAAGAAAAGAGAGACCAGACACTTCGGGGATCAGAAGTGATAGCCATGAGCAGAAGGCAAAGCTGACGAAAAGGAGCCAAAAAAGAAAAGAGAGTGGGATTATTAAAATGAGGCGAGTGATAGCGTGGGCAGACATGCAGCCGAAAGCGCGGCATGCTAACCTGAGAAGGCTGAAGGTTTTCACGAAACTGGGAAGGGGTTAATTGTTTGAAGTAGATGGCATACTTCGCCATGCTGGGTACCTAGGTATATATGTTACGGGGATAGGCGACAGATTGCAAGTAAGTAAATTAAGTATCAACGAGTACTCCGTATCCGAGACAAGGACAAGGACAGGCTGTGAAAGAAGAGAAAGGATATGCGTCATGGTCTCGGGTTGCACATGACGAGAGCTCGGGACGACCGGATTTGATTGATTGCTGTATGGTCAGATGGTTACCATTGGGGGCCAGTTGGGCCGTGAGCTAGGCCAATAGGCCAGTCATCTGGCAGAATGAGGAGTAAGTTACGGTAATTTGGTGTAATCCGATGGAAAATCGCAGAAAAGACGGGCTTAGCAGCGGGGAGCAAGGCGGTCGGGCAGTGGGCAGCCAGTCAATCTCCTACAAAACTGCCCCATCCGCCCTTTTTCCTCGCCTTTCTTCCCTCTGCCTCTTCTCGTTGGTTGCCCGCCCTCTCCAGTTCATCCTCCAATCGCACAGTATCATCTCCCCCCTTTTTACATCATTATTGGTGAAACCCTGCATCTCTATTTGGGTAAGTTATACATCTGATTTGGACATTGTATTGCAATTGCAATTGCAATTGCGATCGCCCTTTTTTTTTCTGGTTTGCTGCTATTGCGTTTTCTTTGTTCGATACTGGAGACTCGATCTCTTTCTTTTTTACCTTGATTTCATTCTGCCCCATTCTTGCTGTGTAAACACACGTCACAATTCACTTTATTTTCTTATCCTTTTTTTACCCTACACAATTGTACCCCATATACTTGTTGTACTGTGGCACTACCTGGTCTATACTTCGTGGTGCACGGAACTGCCCGGCTTGACATCAGTGGCTCCGGTTGCGCACAGAACCACCGCCTTCTCTCTCGTTGGCACGATTCCTCGATCTCCCCCTCTCCCCTCCCCAGGCTGGTCAAATCATCGTCTACCCTGGGATCCCTTGATTGCTTGGGATTGGAAAGTCACCCTAATCGGAGATTATCCTCACTTATCCTTTATCCCGTGCCTATTAAGGTAATCCCTAAGCTCCAATCCCACGTTGCGCGCGCTTTTGCCCTATCTCGTGGCAAAACAACGCGTGCTAAAGCAAAACACGCTTCCCTATTTCACTGTCGCAAATTACCTATGATCCTTGCTGCATCTTCTATCATTGGCTCTCCTCCATTTTTGTGTACATGCGATCGCGTTTTATGTTTCGTTTGGTCCAATCTGCACGCGTTCCTGGCATTCATATCATCTTCCCTGGTGGGTATCTAGTCGCATCTAACATTTTGATATCTAGTCGCGCAAGGTGATTCGCTCCCTGGCCTTGACTTGCCTCGCCTCGAATCCTCACTTCATCGGCGCTGCAGAAGTTGATCGACAAGGTATGTTCCCAGCTGCAGCTTAACTCCCGCCTTTGCCAACGCATACATTCTCCCCTCCCAGCCCTGGCCGGTCTAACCCGCCCCGGATTCCCAAACCCCTCCACCTGAAGACTGCTAGGTTGACAGCGCATTGGTTGTTGATACACCACGATGATTGGCTCAAATGTTCAACTGCTAATGTTCCACCCATAGTGTCAGTGCGTGGAGTCTTGAAGGTGCATTCCGACATCAACGCCTAGACGCCTTCTGTGGCAAGTCCAGGCTGTCAGCACCACCCCGGACTCTACCCGGACGTGGCAGAAGACCCTTGGAAATTGCAGGAAGCTTGCCGCCCGTGCTTGAACCATACTACGTAGCCTTCACACCCAGGTCTGGCATCATCAGATCTTTCTGGCTTGACAACGCATCAAGCCGACATCTAGTCGAGGGGTATCCCCGGCATCGCTGCATCACAGCCCAACCACGTTACACCCGACGGCGGGCGTAAACGATTTTGCACAAAAGAGCCAAAACCCTCCGCAGCGCGTTCGAGATTATTTTTGACACAAGAGGTCGACGCGATAGTTTCTATTGAGGAAACACAGAACAATATTGGTCGCTCAGAACGCGCGCCTGCAATTTAAGGTATGTTCCTGGTCCCTGTTGTGTTCCCTTTGGTCCCATACCCCCACCCCCGCCAATCCAGTGACCGCTCGGCGATGCGCTCTGCTGACGCGAAGCCCCGAGCCTGCAGACTATCTCGTCGAATCACCAGTCGCCTACCCCAACGCTTGTGGTGACTCTATCTCCCATTGCGCGCGCTCCGTGTTATTACCTCCGCCCATCTACCAAACAGACAGCGTTTCCGACATTGCGATATTCGGAACGGTTACAACAAATTCAAGCCTGTGCGTCTGATTGGTGACCTCACTTTTTTGAGTCGTCCTTTCAGCTCCCTCCGCTGAAGCTGTCCCGCATCTCGTAGTGTGACAAGATTCACTGTCACAACTCGCTAACATGGAGTACCCACCTCAATATCAACAGCCTCATGGGCAACATCCACATGCTTCCCCTCATATCGCTGGTCCTTATCAGACCGGCCCACCAAACGCTGGCCCTCCTGTTGGTTCGATGGCGTCACCCACCAACGCCCAGGCACCCATCCAACCTCACACCGCCCACCAAACATCTCCCATAGTCCCATCGCAACCTCATTATCAACAAGCACAGAATGGTCCTGGTGCTGTTCACCAACAAATGAACTTCCCCCAGGGCTATGGTGTCCCTGCGCCCATGGCCCAAGGCTATGGTATTTCACCGACTCAAGCTGCCGCAATGGCCACCGCAGCTGCATCTGGGCAGTTCTATCCTCTTCACCAGGACTCTATGGCCGGTCAAATGCCACAGGGTTCCCGAGCCTCACCACGTATGGCAAACATGCAAATGAAGCAGGACCGCGATCCCCGATCACCGCAACAGATGCAAAACCAGATGCCTCCAATGGGAACTCAGGTTCAGATGCCACCAAATCAGCAATTGAACCAACGTCGTATGAGCCATGTCGGCGGTAGCCCTGGTGTTCAGAGTGCACAGCCAGTGATGAGCCACGTCGGCCGACCCACCATAGCTCCTCCGATCCCCCAGGCACCCGTACAACAAAACCAACCTTCGCCGGATATGGTCCCTGGAAGCAACCAAGAAGAATCGCCCTTGTATGTCAATGCCAAACAATTCCATCGCATTCTGAAGCGTCGTGTAGCACGGCAAAAGCTTGAGGAGCAGCTGCGTTTGACATCAAAGGGTCGCAAGCCTTATTTGCACGAATCACGACACAACCACGCCATGCGAAGACCCCGTGGACCTGGTGGACGGTTCTTGACCGCAGATGAAGTGGCCGCTATGGAGAAACGAGCAGAGGTAACAGGCCAGCCAGTAACTTTCGAAGATCTCAGCAAACCATTGCCAACCGAGAACGGTGGTGCGCAGAAGCGTAAGTCTAGCGAAGTCAACGATGATACCTTGAACTCTTCCAAAAAAACGAAGGTTACCGCTAGCGCCGATGGAAGCGAGGGTGATTCTGCCGATCCCTCGGATGAGGATGGCTGATCACTTTCGTCCTCTCTAGTATCTGCAACAAGACCGAGACAAACAGGATCCTGAAAACTACATTAGGTCTTCCTGGGTTGAATTGCGATATTAAGTTTCCTTTGTTTCCCTTTTTTTTTCTTTTGTCGTCACGGCTTTATGGATGGATGTCTTGGACCTTTTCTCTAGCGAGCGATGTGTATGGATGCCCTCTTTCTATGCTCTATGCCCCCTTTGATGTGCTTTTTTTTACCCAACCTCATTTGCCCTTGATGTTTGTTTATACTGCTATGCTGGGACGATTTTTTTTCTTCATTCCCCCTCATGCCCATTTCATCTTCCTCGTATTCCTCTCTCAATGGTGGTTCCCTCGTTATCGAGGGAGATGCCTTGTACAAGAATAACCGTTCCAAGCATCTGCAACTATTCACTCCATTGCAAGTGATCTGCAATCCTGAGGGATCGCATGCTTCCTCAACTCTGCACCGGGCTGTGCATGCCGGTTACCCCTTCTAAATTCATAGGGCCGCAGCCATGGCATAACTGTGTGTTGTATATCACCTCACAACCATGGGCAGTTGGCAACTGGCTGAATATTCAATTCACGGATGCGCCATCACACCTCTCCATACCATCCACATTGATGTTTCTATTATGAATATGCTTCTCACCATTTCTTCTTTTTTTCCACTTCCATGACATCCCAGTTTCACATTTATTTCTTCTCATTCTGCTTCGGTGTCTCGCGGGTTTATGGGTCTCCGGCTGGGAATTTTAGAGAGGGTCTCCATCACTGGAAAAACAGATCGGGATATCGCTTTTCGCAAGACTGGTTTGTCTTATGAATACCATATTGAATTCGAACTTTTCATGTTTTTGCCTTGTTTTTTTGTTTGTTTTTGCTCGCATTTCATATGTTTATGGTTAGGATTTGGCAAGGCGACGCAGGACAAATTTGGAAATTGGATTGTAGATTTTGGAAACTATGGATATATACTGCAGATCTCTTCCAATGTGTTGTCTTATGTCTATATTCCGGCAGTTCATGTCTCACCATATGTACATGCAGTCTCTGGGATGTTTAATCCTGGCAGTGACACTGGTTAAGTGTCAACAAGACGGTTGCGTATAGCGTCTTTGTTTCCTTTCACCAACGAGTCTTGAAGTAGTTTCGCGAGCGAATGGCCAAAAGCAGACAGCGGGAGCCTTTCAGATGCTGCTGTGAGGTCAAGGGACCCAGAAGAAGAGGATGAGACAATATTCCGGAAATGAGGTTTTTGACACCTACTGACTACGGGTATGTAGCGTAGTCTGGCGAGGAGCCATCAATATGGCTGGATCTAAGTGATCATTATTACCCACAGGAGATCTATGGTTACAATTACGATCATGATTCTGATACCCCGAAATGTCCCACTATTTGCAAGAATGAATGATGTGGGCATCGCGCCAATAAGACAAATCAAAGAAGGCCCGCCGACGTACAGACCTAACCATGTCCGTTTAACGCTTTAACTAATTGTGGGTACGGAGTAGACATCTTGAAGTTGTATACATAGCCAATATAGCCGATTCTAGAATGGAAGAACATTCACTGCATCTCCTTTTTCATACATGCCCAACATCTGTCAATTTTCGCAGCGTTCACACTAACTTCCTGGGACCTCCCATGAGTTTTCGGATATTGCTTTCGTTGGCATTATGTCGCAGTAATTTTCAGAAATTACTGGCATGCACATAAAAAACTAGGGGAGTAAGCATTGTACTAGTAACACTGGTTGGGAGCCAGTCGGCCACATCCCAGGTCTTACTAAACCAACCTTGGAAGAATATAGACAGAAGCAGGGATTCTACGCCCCCGACAATCTTCTACTCAATATTTCCAACTAAAGAGAGGTGCCTCAAAGACAGGTCCAATAGAATCAAGCATATGGGAATAAAAAGCCTGAACTAGATCGACTAAACTACAACTCAAGACCTGCCCGGAAGAGGAGGGAAACAACAAAAGCAGAAAGACACTGGCAAAATTAGCCCACGGTCTTTCAATGGCATCCATGGATCAAATTCCACAGGGACACGTGCCAGGGCAAGCGAAGAGCAGAAAAATAAGAGCTCTCTTTCCCCCACAGTCGATGCTCTTTCAACCTGCCAGTTGATACTCCATGCTAGTTGCTGATTGGTTACTTGGAACCACCCGCCCGCCTCAACCGCACGAGCGCAACACGCCGCATTTTAACCTATCGAACGACCATGTCAGGTCTGCTCAACTCTCGTTGGGCACCTGGTACGAGAGGAACACAAGGATATCCGCCGGCGCAGAATGGCTTCAGGTCCTGGCCCTCGAAGAACCCAGCGGAGCGTGGTAATAGCAGTATCCGCCCGGCAACCATCACACCCCAGGATGGCCGTTTGTTACCACCAGCCGAAGAATTGTCTCGCTTTATGAAGATTGTTGCCAGATTACGATGGAAACTGCCATTTCTAGCAGAGGGCTACCGACTCGCGACACTTGGAATCAGCGAGGTCATATCAGCCGAGGATGTCGCGCACGCGGAAATAATGTTCAAGATTGATTTCCACGAATACTATGCTCTGCTCGAGCGTGCCATTGTCCACTTATTGGCGGTATTCAATATTTCTGTCTCATCGTCGCCTCGAGAGCCGCTAAACAACGGGACCGGCATCGGTCGGCCTGCTGGTATGCATCGATACCATGCCAATGTGCTAGAGGCCCTGCGGGAACAATCGACCCCACTATCCCCCGTTCTAGGTGGCGGCCCCGTTTATCTGCAGTTACAGAAAGCCAAGGAACTGCGCAACAGATGGAAAACGGCAGATATGACCTCCGAGGAACGAGAAAAACAAGGCGAAAGGAAGGACGTTCTCGCACTTGCAAGCTTTGACTTCGAGGGTATTATCTCTGACATCTTTGGGGGTCTGGAGGAGTCATATATCCGCGCAAAAGAGCATGTGGATAAATGCATTCGTCCAGATGAGACTACTGAACATGGGCTGAACTCCGAGGCGGACTGGGGGTTCATGGTCGATGCTATGGATTGGGAGGCCGTATGAGAGCTGGCAATCCCAATATCTATTGTCGGTGTTTATTCAACAATGCGATCTATCAGCGATGGCCGATACGGCCGGATGGGATGTGAAAGCTTCTGTGGCATCCAATCCATTGCTGATACGCCGGTCGCTCTCAACTGTCGATGCCCCGTGGCTGCAGGCGACGATTCAGCCATATCATTGTATCGCGAAGGTCTTCTTGCGCATGCGTCTTCCACTTGATATTTCCTGTCGTTCCTGTGGTTTATCGGAAGGCCGCCAGGTTCTACAGGACTAAGGTGATTTATAGAGGAGTCGGACGTCTCTGCAGAGCAAAGAACCGTCATTGGCTAGCGCTGAGCATCAACAAGCAGGACCCGATTTCTTGTCCATCTTCTTGATAATGGGAATCCTGCTTGTTTATACATCCCCATTTTCACAGATGGGCAAAAAGATCCGATACAAATATCCTATGACCCAAAGTATTCTTACATACTCATTTCCTTCCATCTACTTGATCCCTGTCTTTTTCTGTCTCGCTATGATCTCATCCCCGTCTCCAATTCGCACCTTCCACCTCCTAATACCCTATCGAATCCAAGGGCTTTCGTAAGTCAGGTGATCATGCTATTGCCTGTTCGAACAAGAAACAGTGTCTACAAATGCAAAGTCGCGTGTGATCTCACGCCATCCGTGGCCTTTACATTTCAATGTCCTAAAATTGGAGCATATTTAGGTATCGACCTCAATATCTTTGTGCTAGAATCGCAAAATTGGAAAATAGATGGTCAGTTGTATTATTTCCGACCTGTAGTCTCAAATGTCTGCTTAAAGGTCTTTCGATTGTCAAATTGAACGTATCTCTTCCAAGATTCCTTCTCTATATCTGACTATAGCTTTGGGTTATCCACTGGAGTTTCGAGAAAAATTACAGCTTATTTTCCAGGAAAAATCTCCATCAAACCGGCTAGATGACACTCTTAGTCTCTCTTGTCCCGAAAATCCTACCATGCAGATTACCACCTTTCTACATAGATATACTCCACCTCGACTTTGAGTTAAATTGCTCTACGGAGTACTCTACAAAGATGACTGTTTGAGAAGAATTGATCTAAAGGACAACACAACAATTAGGCTTAGGTAGGACCCTGTGCATGCCGAAGTGGATGTATCACTTCGTTTGGCGGTACGGAGTACAGAGTGGTGCCTGTGTAAGTCAAGCGCTAGACGGGAACGTCTACTGCATACGGAGTACATACGAAGTACAGGTCCAGAGAGTAGGCAGCGGTACAGAACAGACTTGATAGCAATATGGACTAGTGTTATGACACAATACCGAAGCAGATGTCCGTGAGGAAATACTCCTAGCAAGATTAAAGCTTCCCAGGATCTTGACCATTGCGCGGAGCTACGTGGGTCACAAGGGAGACCCACAGTCTTGCAATTTTCGCTTTCGCCTCGCTTCTCCCGCGTATTTTCCCCCTTTGCGGTTCATTCCAGACTTGCTTCCAGAAGTAGCGGTGTCCAGCCAGGGCAATTAGTTGTCATTCGGACGGTCCCTGGCGGCGGACCAATCAGGGGTCGCTATATAGCACGTGACCCTGTGCTATCCCAGATTCGGACTAGCTTCGAGCTTGCTCCAGCTTCATCCGCCTCCTCGGCGGCTTCTCCTCATCAACCATCGCGTTTTGATTGAGGCTTCTTGTAGGTGGCCCTCTTCTTTCTCTCGATTCAGTTTCTGTTTTGTACCTTGCCCTGTCTCTTTCTATCAACCTCCGCTCCTCCGGCCCTGGTTTTCCAATCCCCTGCTTCATCTTCTTTTCTAAGCCGTGGTGCCAGCTGCGCATTGCCGGACTCTGCGGGCTATGTCTCTTTGGACGCATAGCAGCATTGGCCTTGGCCAACAGTCTTCTTCATACTCTCTTTTTGCTCTCTGAAATCACCTGCTGCAAACATGTTCCAACCCCTTGCCCATTTTTGGGGCCGGCATGTCACCAGCAGCAGCGTGTCCTTGTCTCTCTCTTTACCCAGAACCCAACCTGCTCGCTATTTCGCTCTATGAACTTGCTTGTTCTGATGTTGACGATCCCGAATTATAGCTTATCCTGCGTTTTCCGACTTCCTGATCGACCATCGCAGATCGCCCCAGCTGCGCTCCGTTCGCTTGTGCTGATTCTTTGGGATTATCGACGTCTTTCCCGCAGCGCTGGCTGTAGAAGTTACCAAAATCAGAGCTTTCGTAACAATGGATTCTTACGATGGTTATGGGTCTCCTGGAAGGAACCGTGAGTCGGATTCCTTCGCAGGACGAAGCACAGGGGATTCGTACAGACGCCGATCTCCAGGTATGGCCAGAGTTCAAGTTTCCCGGGGAGAATCGGACAAAATTGACTTTCAAACAGCCTCGCAGGATCGACGCCGTCCGCGGCCGCGTTCTCGTTCACCTGTGATTGACCGGTACGAGCCTTCGGAGCGACGTTCCCACCGCGAGGACTTTTACAACCACTCCCGGGACCATGCCGCCCGAGACCGCGAGGACCGCAGACGTGCCCCTTCGCCAAACGTTGCCAACATTGACCGCTATGTCCCTGGGCAAGAGAGTGGCGGTGGCAAGCGTCCTATTCCTACCAACCCTATGCCGAATCCCCTTTCACTCGATTTCCAAGTCGGGTTCAATTGGTTCGCTGAATGGTGGAGATTGGAGGAATCTGTCAATGAAGAGAAGGAACGCTCTAAGAACGGTGGTCGTCGAGTCAAGGGAGAGCGCGAGGCGCGCGAGGATCGCGAAAAAGAACGTGCACAAATTCAAGCTGCCTATGACACATACAAGGTTGATTTGCAAATTCGCCTAGCCAGGCTATTTGTTCAGCAGCATCGGAACGAGGAATGGTTCAAAGAACGCTATGTTCCCGAGGTCAGAGACCCTCTCCGCAAGCGCATCATGGCGGTTCGACAGGGTGCATATGACCAGTGGGAACGCGATATCGAAAACAACCTCTTCAAAGATTTTACCCTCGAAGGTATCTACAAAAGCGACAGCGACGGTGCCGGCGGTGTGGTAGAAAAGGAAGAAGGCGAGACTACCGCTCCTGCTGAGACTATGGGCGTGCTTGATTTACTCCCAGCTCGCGGTGGGGATCTCCGCGACGAAGCTCTTGCCCAGCCTGCCCTACTTATCAAAACGCTTGCACCAAACGTCAGCCGCACTAAGATCGAGGAATTCTGCAAGGAGCATCTCGGCGAGGAAGATGGAGGCTTTAAGGGACTGAGTCTCAGCGACCCGAATCCATCAAAGAAGTTCCACCGCATGGGATGGATCATGTTGCATCCTTCCGCGACCACCAGTACCGTGGAGCGGGGAGACGGGCGTGATGAAGAATTGGAGAACATGGATCATGATGGAGCTTCAGCTGGTGATGTCACAATCAACCCGGCCGAAAAAGCTCTTGAGGCTGTGAACGACAAGACAATTCATGACTCCGTCCACGGTGACTTCATTTGCCACGTGGGAGTCCATGTCCCTCCTACTCAACCGCGCAAGAAGGCTCTCTGGGATCTGTTCTCCGCGCCAGAGCGAATTGATCGTGATCTCGATCTGGCTAGACGTTTGACATCCAAGTTGGACTCGGAAATGGAATCCGGCGTGGATGGATTCGCCAAAATTGAGGAATATGTCGACGATCTGCGCGGAAAAGGCGAGCTTCAGCTTCCTGCCACCGGTCCTGTCAATGTTAAGAAGCAGAGGACCGGTTATGGCGATGAAGAGGAAGATGAAGGTGAAATTGAAGAGGGCGAAGAGAAGGAACTCCTCGATGACGAAGAGGTAGATGACGAGGAACTCGCCGTCAAGAAAAAGAAGTTGGACTTGATTGTCGAATACCTCCGACGGGTCTATAACTTCTGCTTCTTCTGTGTCTTCGAGAGCGATTCAGTTCATGAGCTTGGTCGCAAGTGCCCTGGTGGACATCTTCGCCGTCCGCGCACCGGTCTTTCCAGACAGGCCAAGGAAGTAGCTCGAGCAAGCGCTCTTGGCCACCCATTCCCAGCCAAGAAGAAAGAGCCTAGCGAAGAAGGAGAAGATCCCGCTTCGCCTGTCCAGGAGAAACGCGGACAGCGCCATGGTTCGAAATCGGAGCAACAACTGCAGCGTGCTTTCAACTGGGTCAAGACTTTTGAAGACAAGTTGCTACAGATCCTGGAGCCCGAACACGCTGATCTCAGCAAACTCGGCGGTAAGCCGGTCGACGAGGCGCTCGAAGGTGAGCTTCGCAAATACATGAAGCAGGAGGATGACTCCAAGTACCGTTGCAAAGCCCCTGATTGCACAAAGCTTTTCAAGGCCGAAGCCTTCTGGCGCAAGCATGTTGAAAAACGCCACACGGAGTGGTTTGAGGGTATCAAGAAAGACGTAAGCCTGCCAGATTCTATTTTGTGCCCTCTCAGTACTGACAAACATTTTAGCTCGCGTTGGTGAACGCCTATGTCCTCGATCCCGCACGCATTGCCCCATCCCGGTCTGATGCCAACAGCAACGGCCACTTCCCACTTGGCTCCGGACAAGGCCATACTGGCACCCCTCGAGGATTCAGCCTCGCCGGTATGCCCTACGGTGCCAATGGAAATGTACCCAGTTTCTCCCCAGGAATGCCTGGTGGTATGATGGGCTCGCACGCAGGCGGCTGGAATGGTCCCGGCATGGGACTTGATGGCGCTTTGCACCAGCCCGGACCCATGCGCCGTGGCCAAAACCGCAACAACCGACCCGGTCCATATGATCGTCGCCGATTCAATGGTAACGGTCGCCTGAGCCCTCCCCGCGGCATGCCCGGCATGTACGGTGGTGGTCGTCTCCCGCCACCTGGCATGAACGTTCCTGCCGGTCACCCTGCGGCCGGTATGGTTTCCAACAACTTCCCTGATTCTATGGGATCCAACGGAGGACCCATGGCGCCGCGTGAAGCCGTTCAGGGTCGCAGCCTGAAGAGTTACGAGGACCTGGACGCTGTCGACCCCTCCGGTGGCGGCGAGCTGCAGTACTAAGCAGCTCCTCTTTTTGCTCCCTTGACCCCACTTCTTGTTTCTGTGTTTTAATTCTCATTACTGCTTTTATCATCCAATTGGCGACCGGCGCATCGGAGGGATCACTGGAGAATCGTTGATTCCGGCTTGCTCATTTGAACCATTTCCTATGGATCTTTGCCTCGTGAAAACATACTTCTTATGTTTCCGACCTTCAATTTGTTGTTTCCATCCAAAACGGACCATGTCATTTCTTTGTTAATGTACAATATCTATCCTCATTCAATCAGAATATCAATATTTGAAATTATCAATTCGTCTCATTGCCCATGGGGGTATATTGCGTTCACTTTGCAGCCTTTCTAACCGAATACCCAGAATGACCTTCCCCAACTCCAAACCCACGAGAACGCCAACTAAAAGAAAAGCTCCGGGCCAGATTGCCTTACGGCATTTGAATAATCACTTCTTCTTTTGCGTCCCGCCACTGAATCCCCATCCCACGAACCTGCCGCTCACTCGCCAGGAAGAGAAGAAGATAAACATGCATCACAACCTCGCCCCAGGTATAGACCTTCAATGCAACGTGCGTAGCAGATGAGCTCTGCGACGACGGCGCCGCCTCAAGAATACACCACACGCCCCAGCCCGCACGGCCATCTTTGCCAATAAAGTCCTGCAAGAAGGACCAGAAAGCGTGGAAAAGCGAGGCGGGCCAAACATGGATGTCTTTTGATTTCGGTTTGGGTTTATTGGCGTCAATGGTTCCTGGACTTGGAAGCTCGGTTGAATCCCGGGTGCCTTCGTCCTGTGGCTCGATGGCGAAGCGCAGAAGCCAGTATCCGCGCTCTAGCGGGTCGAGAGGGCGGGATTGGCGGGATGGTTTGTATGTGCGGGCTGGTTTTAGACGCTCTGTGAGCATGGATAGGGTTGGAGTTACGTGTGTTGTAAAGCGGGCTGTGGAGATGGGAGGTTTGGGGGGATGGATTTGAAGGGGAAGGGATGTGAGATTGATAGCATTTTGGATGGGCGTAGTAGAGTCTATTGCTGACTCTGGATCTGAGGAAGGTATAAGAATGGGATTTGATGGGAAGCCCGGGCGTGGATCCTGGCAAAGGGGGTTCACGCTATGAGCTGCAGTGGGTTGGTCCGCTGCAGTGGATCTAGATTCCTGGATTGATCCTTGTCCTTCAGGGGAGATTGACGCTGTACGACGTCGTTTCGCGGGTGGATCCTGCGACGAAGACGATAGTTCTGCACGAGATTGGGAGGCGCAGACTAGTTCGCCGATCTCTGGCTGGGAGTCTGGAATCACACTTATGAGACTTTCCAGGGAGTCCAGGTGACTTGAGATCGGACGTAAAGCCGGGCCATCCGTCTCCAGGCAGTTACGATCTGAGGAAGAATCGAGAAGAACGGGTCGGGACGCCTCCCGCAATATTGGCAAGACCTCGTGTTGGGCCGAGGGCGAGGAATGCAAATGCACCCCGGGATTAGCGGAGAAGGAATGCGCGTGATGGTCATCGGGATCTGAGGCCTGCATCAATGGTTGGCGCGAGACGCACTGGAAACCCAATATAGCGGCGACCTGGGCCCTGTAGCGCGCATCGTCCTGGGCAGTGCTGGGTGCGGCGATGTGGACTAGAATTTCGGGAATGTCGGCCATTTGGGCAGTTGGGATGGGCCCATGATACTGTGCCACTAGTGAGATCCAGGCCGATCATTGCAGAGATTGTATTTGTCAGTGAGAATATCTCCAAGGGGAAAAGAGACAGGAGAAAGAGGGCGACTATTGGATGCGCAGTGGATGATTGGCCCTTCCGTTCGACTGATCACACTAGGCCCAGCACGTCCCAGGGTACTTGCAGGGTACCTCCCCGCCCACGCTGGAGTGGTGGCACATGCTGGTACTGTCCAGGTCACGGGGGGTTCGGGGCATATTCATGACTTCAGAACGCGTCAAGTACGCTGTCGGCTATTTTGGTTTTATTTTGCTTGTAGGAAACAGATGCAGAGCTCGCGAGATTCGCCATATTTATGATCCGTATGAATGCCAGGTCGAAGGCCACGATTGGCAGAGTGTGGCCGTTTGGTTAAAGTGCTGAGTGGAGACTTGGACAGATCGAACGCCTTTACATTTTCATTTGAGCAGTTAAATTGGAGAATATCAGACGCAATGGGAGATCGTGTATACTGTTGATCGAGGTCGGAAGTAGCCTACAAAGTTGGTCTCCTCACATCCACTTTCTTTTCGCCTTTTTTTTTTTCTCCTGGAGACCCTGCTTATTTTCGTGCAACTCATACTGATACTCGTGTGATTCTCTTTCCTTTCTGCACTTAACCTTCTCCCCTTACCTCCTCTCTTCCCGCCGATCGCAAACTCTCGTTATGGCTGTCAGTGGCGGGGTGTATCCGATGGACCACGCGATGGGACAATATTCTGGTGAGTCCATCTTGTTCTTTGAAGTCTTTCCCAGAGGTCTCAGTCTGGTTCGTCCTGGGGTTCTGTGTTTCGCGATCGGGGGGTATCCAGCGCCCAGCCACAGCTCTACAACGTGCGAATGGCTGCGGCATAGCCTGGAATGAATGGACGCTGGCCATTATCTTTCATACTCCCTCGATCGCGCACGAGCTAGTGAATCTGGTGAATCTGGTGAATCTGGCGGAAGCTTGGGTCCGGGAATCGACGCCACGACGGGTCTCCCCGGTTCTCGCTACCTTGGAAGCCGTTGGCCGCGGCCTCCCGACCACTGGTCCTGAGCATTCACCACTAGATACAAATACTCATTGTTTGATCGCATTCCGAAGTTTCCTACTTGCTGACTTTATGGCGCCGATGGCTCTCCGGCTCGGCCCACGGCCCACGGCCCGGAGTGCACGGTGCAGCCCATTACAGAGGAACCGCAAACCCCATCAAGTAAAGGTTTTGGATCGGAGATTTTCAAGATATTTGGAGGCGGCGGCAGTGGCAGTGCTCCAATAGGAACTGGACCGAAGAAGACCACGCGAGGTCAGTCACCCCAATCGCTCGATCGGACCACGACTAAACCTGTGCAGATGGACAACAGCCCAAACGTCGCGGTCCTAAGCCGGATAGCAAGCCTGCACTTACTAGACGCCAAGAACTCAACCGTCAGGCCCAGAGGTAGACATCCCACGCATTTGATGATCATCGGACTGGGCTGATCCACGCAGAACACATCGCGAGCGCAAGGAACAATACATGAGATCGCTGGAGACCGAGGTGTCCCGATTACGAGAGGCCTACACCACTGAAATTGCAGAGGCCAACGCAGCACTTCGGCAACATAAGGAGATGATTCACGCGATGCAGGAAGAAAACGAGATTCTGAAAGAAATTCTCGCCGCCAACGGCCTCCAATATGAAGCGGACTTAGAGCGCCGCCGCGCAGAACGCCCACCGATGCCGCTCCAATCGAGCCCCATTACTGCTGCCGGTAGTAGCACGGGATCGCAGACTGCAGCCCTCACGAACACGGCCAGTAATCCCAACACCACTCCTGCAACCACCATCTCATCCGACATGAGCCCACGCGCCAATGGCATGGACCATACCGAGATCTCGCCTCCCATTGGATACGCCCCGCAGCAGGTCTACCAACCGGGCATGGGCGAGCATCCCATGGGCATGGATCATTCCTCATGCGCACCGGTTGATACCATGCAGCCCATGCCGGCCATGGCTATGCAAAGGGGTGTTTTCGAAACCGATCCACAGCTGCAGGTTGACTTTATCCTAACGTAAGTCCTATCCCAAGCTAGCCGAGCAGGCATCATGCTAACGAACACCTTCCCCACAGACTGGAGGGCCCGTGCCGCGAACATACGGACTATCTCTGTCGCCGCTCGATCACAGAAGCCGATGACGAGGACATGCCGTTCTCCGGCCACGCCCTGATGGCAACATGTCCTCCGCCTAGCTACATTGCCAAAACCACACATGAACAACCATACCCGCACAAGGCACCGGATCTCCCTCACGCAAACCTCAGCACACTCCTCAACCTCAGCCGACAGCTCGTCACAGAAGGTCAAATCACACCCATCATGGCATTACAATGTCTCAAAAACCACGAGCTATACAGCACGCTGCGCCGCGAAGACGTCAAGATCATCATGGACACCCTCAACACCAAAGTCCGCTGCTACGGCTTCGGCGCTGTCGTCGAAGACTTCGAATTGATAGACTGTCTAAGCAGCGTGCTCGGCACCAAGGTCGATCTCGGCATGTCCGGCCGAGCCGATGAAACTATGTATGGCTAGGTGGTGTGGGTGACCGAATGAACGAAAATGATTATGACTGATGTTTGGACAAACCCCCGTCTCTTTTGTGTTATGTGTCACGGAGTGACTCGGCGCCTTGCTGCTGGCCTTTCGGTTTTGATTGTGCCTGTGAACTACTTCCTTTTTCTGTTCTTTTTGTGTTTTTCTTCTATGTTTCTACTCTGTTTTATCTTTCATCTTTGTCTTTTTTGACTTGTTTCGAGGTTGTATATATGCGAAAAACCACCGCTGGTGCGGGTGGTTCTGTATGGCATCCTCTCTTTCTCTTCTTTTTGTCTTGGTGCTTGAATTCGAAGGCGGTTATATTACTTGAAATGTTTCAACAGTTTGAATATACTCTACTCCAACAATATTTGGATTTATATCATGGCCCAACTCTATCTGGCCCATCTCTATCAGGCAATAGTTAACCTTTCAGTACGCTACTAGGTACTGAAGCATACAATTCTCCAAATATTCTACAAAGCGAATCCAGATCTACACGAGATAGGGAAAAAGGTTGGAAAATCATCAGTCCTCTCTATAACAAGAGTATAAAAGCATCAAATTTTAGGTAAGAGTACGTATGCACATTCAAAAAGGCCAGAACGTAAGTCATGAACAAGAAATCTACTCATCCGCCTCATCCTCCTTCTCATCCTCCTTCTCCTCAATCTCAGCCTCATCATCCTCCTCGAAAGTAGTAGCAGGAACGCTGTACAGACGCAGAACAGGCTTGTTAGGATCCTTAATGAGGACGTACTTCTTGACAGTCTCAGCAGGCTCCTCGGAGTCGAGAGTGCGGATACGGTCGACGATAGTACGGACAATACCCCATCCGTTGCCGAGGTTCAGGTTCATCTGGCTGGCGAACTCGCGGGGCTTGTAGCCCGCAACACCGAGGACGACGTGTCCGGTGGCGGAGCGGGGGTTGACACGGGAGACGAAGCCGAGCTTCATGCCGTGGGCGTTGGCGAGGATAGCCTGGGTGGTCCAGCGGGCGAGCTTGGCGGAGTTGTTCTTCATCTCGGTGGCGAGGACGGCACCACGCTGGGAGTTGAGCTTGCTGCGCCAGTCGAGGGCACCGCCGGAGCCCTGGGCCTTGGGGTCGAACTCGTTCAGGGCCTTGATGATGAGCTGCTGGTCCTCGCCGCCGGTGGGGCCGCCCTTCATGACGGCGTCGACCTCGGTACGGACAACCATGGAGACGGGCTCCTCGTCGCGCTCGAGGGAGATGTCGAAGCGGCGGTACTTGTAACCCTTGGAGGCGAGGGGCTCGGTCTCCTCGGTCTCGTCGTAGAAGGGGTTGGGCTTGGCGAAGGAGACCTTGTTCTTCTCGGACTCGGTGAGGGTCTGAAGGGCGAAGTTGTGGTTGATGATGGTGGCCTCCATGGCGAGGGCGTTGGGGGTGTTGATCTGGTCCTGCTTGCCGGTGGCCTCGGCGGCCTCGAGAGGAGCGTCGATGGCGTTCTCGTTAACGCTGACCATGTCGAAGGAGGCGCCGTCGCGCTTGTCGAAGTAGATCTTGTCGCCCTGGTGGACGATGACGATATCCCAGGAGTAGACGCTGCGGGTGGCGCACATCAGCATGGACAGGATATCGGAGGTAGCGAAGACGGTAGCGGCGTTCTTCTCGGAGAGCTCGTTGATAACGGGATCCTGGGAGGTGGTGACGTTGTAGGCGGCACGGTCGAGGGCCTGGATGCGGCGCTCGGCGTTCTTGACAGGGGGCTTGTCGTAGGACTTGTCGTAGTAGTGGAGGAAACCGTAGGTCTCGAGATCCTCGCCCTCGGGGGCATCGAGGTTCAGCTTGGACAGACGGGTGAAGTCAACCTCCTCGAGCATGGTCCAGTCGGGGCGAATGTTAACAGAAGCCTCACGAATGCGCTGGGGCTTGTCGTAATCTCTCCAGCCGAAACGGCGACCACCACGGCCACCACGGCCACCGCCACGGTCAGCGTAGTTGTAACCGCTCTGCTGACCACGGCCAGCAGGGCCAGCACGCTGGAAGCCACCACGTCCACCGCGCTGGTTGGCAGCACCACGCTGACCACCACGACCACGGAAAACGGTGCCACCGCCACGGCCGAAAGTGCGCTTCTGGACACGGGTGTTATCGACGACGGAGAACGAGGACTCGTCCTCGGCGGCTGCGACAGTGAACAAGTTGGAGGTGCCGGCGCCGTACACCTGCTGATCTATTTAGACTGTTAGCCATTGCTATTCAATAACAAGAGGTGTTTGGTGGGGGGCAATAGAAAAGCTAGAACATACCTCTGAAACCACGGTTGTACTGAGGACGCTGGTTCTGACGATCCTTGGACTCGGCAGTCCAGTCAGCCATGCGGCCAAGCTTGTCGCCCTTGGAGAAAGGAGCGTATGGGACACCAGCAAGCATGGTGTTAGCAGACACGGAGGGACCCCAGCTGTCCTCCGCAGGGAGGGCAGCCACCAGGTCGGCGAGAGAGGTGGAAGGCATTTTTGTGATGATCTATGGGCAATATGCGCTGGGCAACTGCTCAAAAATCAAAAAGGTAGAGGGGTGGTTGATCGATAACCCCGGGAATATGGTGTGGATTAATTGAGGCAAGTTTTTTGTGTCGCGAGGCGTGTGGCGGTGTGAACAAAGAGCACCGCCACACACCGCCACAGGGTCCCCAGCACCAGTCACTTTGTTTTCATCTTTGCATCTTTCCATCTTTTCATCTTGGTTATGATTGAGAAATACTCCTATTTTTGAGTTCCAGCAAGTTCTCGAATGGTATTTCAGATTCAAATATTAGTCACCATGGCTCAAGATAATCCATATTGCCAGCCCTGGAGACTCCCAAGGTCCCCGGAAGAATACAATCCCTTATCTTTACCGGTCTTTCTCATCACAGCACTAAAATAACCACTCACTTCTCAAAGTCATGACGAGAAGACTTCAACGGAGAGGGGCCGGTCTTATTTTTGAGGTCCTGGGTCAAACCACGGGATCACCGTGATATCCACATACTGATAGGTAGTACCCAGGCAGATACTCCTAACTATGCAATCTGTTCACGTAACTCTTTTCAACTTCACTTATCATGATCGTCATGAACCATGACGACAATCAGGGGAAGTCCATATGCGCGAACGCCAAAGATCAGATGAAGAACAATAGTCTCTCGATTGACTAGCGCCCAGATCGAAGTCTCCCAAGAGCCTGGGGTCGTGACAAACCCGTTCCTGTCGCATTTCTTTGACATCATGCAATCAAAAGTGCGAGGCTTATCTCGAGGTTCTCGATTTGTTCATGGCGTTGGTCCCTGCTCTAGTCTGTGCCGCAGTATGCGCTTGCTGAGAAACGACAAATCGCGAGACAACTGCATGAAACCAGACTATGGAGCCTGTATAAAATACGGATTTGCTTTTGATTCACTATCAATTGAATTTGCGCGGTTGATACAGAGTAGATAGGTCGACTTTAGCTGAGACTCCCGAGGTCCGTACCTTACGGTGGATCGGCATCCGACTCTGATTCGATGCCACAGGGCAGATCATTCTGGCAACCGGGTCCACAGATAAGGACTCCCCCATCCGGAGAGATGAGGGATGACTGGAGTTTTGCCTTGCCGACTATTTGTCTCGTACATCTACGGAGTACTTGGAATCGGCCTGGAGCCAGTAAATGCAGGCCTTCCAATGTTATTGAGCACGGACCAGACATGATCGACCGCCAAGACAGCTCGCTTGGAGTTCGTCTACATCATGATAGTGAACCACATCGACCGAGTGGGCTTCACTATACCTATGGAACCGATTAACTCGTTTAGTACTCTTTCGGTCCGGAGTATTCCTTACCAGGAACGCCGGTTCCTGTGCTCCACGCCCCTGCTTCGGCCCATGGTCTGAGCCTTTCGGGTCACCTCTCGACACTCTGTACTCCGTATTGGACCAAATGCTATCTAAAGTTTTGCTGATCTTCTAGTCCGCCAAGATGGAGAATTCTCAAGTACCCCGTACGGAGTATCAAGGTCCACAGCTGGGAACCAGGTGTCACTGCCATTGGCCAGGAGGATAAGGGCACTCAATTATTGGATGTATACGGAGTAGCAAACGGGTCAACTGGAAGCAACAAGATCCCTCAGTCTCTTCTGAGGAAAGCAAAGTTTATAAGGACCAAGGTATTCCACGCATTTTGGAAATCATCTACAATCGCACTCAACCCATCACAAGAACAGTCTCCTTCTCCTCCTTCCACGTTCTCAGTACACCATAACCTCCCAAAATGAAGTTCTCTATCCTCTCCGTACTTACCCTCGTCGGCGCCGGCATGGTGTCCGCCCGCGCCACTGTCGTGAAGCGTTCGGATTCTCCTACGAGCCATGCTAGCGCTGCTGCCGCCGCTCTCTCTGGGGACAAGGTCAGCGATGAGTCTGCTACCGCAGATTGCGTCGGACCTCTCCTCTGCTGTGGCACTCTCACTACTCCTCTCGATCCCCTTGTCGACCCCCTCTTGTTGGCCCTTGGTATTGATGTCGCCAACATTGTTGGATCCATTGGTCTTCTCTGTATGTCTTATTCTCACCCTAAATCTACAAGCTTTGACCCTGACATATTTCATAGGCCACGGCTACGAGGAAGCCACTTGCGAGACCGAGCCCCAGTGCTGTACCGAGGCCAACCTCCTGGTAAGTGGTGATCTATCATGCAATCTGCCCTGCCGAGGATATCCAACTAACACATGTCTACTCCGTAGGGTGGCACCCTTGCTCTCGGATGCGCGGATCTCAAGAACTAAGCCCCAGTTTATTGGACCTGTTGAGTGTCATTTGCAGACTTGATACGTCTGCTCAATTACTGAAGATGTACATTCTTTTTCACGCGTTGGGAGGCACTTCTGTTTATAATCATGTAATAGCAATATCATCCTATCTTCTTGAAAAATTTACTCGTTAGAACTATTGCTGTTTTATGTAGATTAAAGCTTGATATTCACATGTATCTATCATCTTGTTACTTCTTGTGGAGTGAAATCCCAGCCTTTTACATGTAAAACGTATTCAATATCGCATTCGAATGACACTACGGCCTGAGGCTATTTTCCGAGAGGTATGTCACTTGGAAACTTGACTAGCCCGTCCTGTTCGAGCCATTGTGTGTTCTTTTGTTGACGGTGTCCGGATTTCTGAGATCAGCTGTCACCAAGGAACCGAGGAAAAAGATATAGTTTTGTGTATTTTCTGCCATATTATGCACTTCATCTTGGGAATACTCCAATGAGACATTAAAATGACCTTGGGTGCCCCGTTGCCCCAGCGGGGTGTTGGGCGCTTGGCACCACTTCTATTGCCCGACGATGCAATAGAAGTGATTTCTTCAACATCTCAAGGGTAAAAACAAAGCGTAACCCTTGATTCGTCGCAATGGTTGCAAACTCCCAGTTATATAATCTCCCTGTCGAGCTGCTCGACATGGTATTCCAAAACCTGCGAGGATCGCAACATTCTCTGAACAGTCTAGCGCACACCTGTCGCAAATTCCATGAGCTTACGATCCCAATACTTTATTCCTCGATCTTTCTGACAGATCCAGCCAGCTGTGAGCAGCTGTATCGGACAATTCAGAAATATCCCACATTTTGTTCCTACGTTCTCGAGTTACAAGTACACCGCCATCATGGCTCCGATAACCCCTTTGCCGCAGAAGGGCAAACCAACGAAGCTCTTCTAGATGTTCTTTGGGAACTGCCAAATCTGGAGGCATTGATTCTGAAAAGCTTGCCCTTTCGCTCAGTGTTGGACGATACGAGCCACAGACTGCTGCGTATGTTTATAAAAAGAAGAGGTATTGTTGAGATTGACTCCGACACTCAGTACGTGGGGCAAAAGTTACGCTCCTGTAAGTCTTATTATCTGGTGAGAGACTGAAGAAAAGAATAAGTTCTGACAGTATTTAGTATATCTCGGGTCTAACTTCAGTGACTCCAATCAGAATTCCTGGTTGCTTGGCCCCAACGAGGTTGTGTTTTATATGACCCAGCTCGAGAAGCTCTGCATCCAAGGTGCCAGAATCGAACGTATGCACCACAGGAGCATTGCTGCAGAATGCTTTACCGACAGGACATTTCTGAAAGAACTTGTCTTGCTCGACTGCGATGTTTCACCAAGAACACTCTTCCAAATTCTCAATTTCATTAGGCGTCTTACCCACTTTACCATGAGAGGCCAAGCTCATGCCCTCAGCAGCTTGGATATGAGTGACTATATTCGACAATTCAACTACTGCGCTTCCGTGAATATCGAGCATCTCGAAATCGATATCGTGAATGCAGAAAACTCCTCGGATTTCTACTGGTTGGAGAATCTGAAACATCTTACCCTCTCTCCGGAGGGTCTTCAGGGCTATCAAGCCGATGATTGGGCGGGATATGGTCGAATTCTTCCAGACAATTTGGAGACTCTCACGTTGAAAGATTCCAATCAACTGGGGTTTCCGTTGGAAATACTACTTTCAAAGATCGAGGGGGGAAGTTGCCGAAGCTGCATACTATCACCTACAAGAAGTTCTGTGAGAACGGGAATGGAGACAGCGACATGGACTGGGTGGCGAAAGTCGACAAATTTCAAAAATTAGGCGTGAGGCTCTGTGTTGTATATTATCATGATCTAGCTGCGATGCGCGAGCCCGACAACTGGCCAAGCAAATGCTAGATTAAGCGACATGCGAGCATGTGATAGACAAAGAAGCAGGTTGAACGGTTAATACGGCATCGTTCTACATAAATATGTTAGATTCCTAGAGACAAAGGCCACTCACGCCGAGGATGTTGCCCGTCGGGCGCGATGGCACATTTCGTGTCTCAGAAGACTCTAGTCCACATGACGGGCCATGTCTTGGCCTCGTATTGCGAAATGAAAAACGCCCGAAGCCATCAGCCTTGCCCTGGACTAAGGCTGTGCATAAATCATTTAAAACGCCCGACTTCCCCGCATCGCAGGTCGCAAATCCAATGCAAATGTTCCGACATCCACACATGTTTATTCCTTTGTTGCTCTGGTCTCTTTGCACCGATTTACCACACAGATCCTCGCTACCATGAACGCCCAAGCAGACCCCAACAGCAGCATCCTCACTGGAGACAAGAATACCATAATAGAATGTTCGCTCAAAGGCTCCGCCATCAACAACTGCTGGATGAAGAAATCCTCATTACACGGCTGTGTCGTATCCAACGTGGGTCATATGTCCCGGATCACAGGCAGGGATTCGCAGCTCTATGACATAGCTATTTTCAAGGACTGCGATATTGAAGAAAGCACTGTTCGGAGCATGAGCTTTTTGCAAAACTCGTCAATCAGCAGGTCGGACATTCGTAACAGTAGTACGATATCCCGAAGCCATGCGATCGGGACCAACGTTTCGCGGACTTACCTCTACAAATCGCACTTGACAAATTGTGATGTCACCGATTGCAAGATCATCGACTCCAAGTTCAATGGCATGATACTGAAGAATGGCGTTTGGAAGATGGGGATGCTGGTGGGGAAATTTGGAGTCGGAGGTGGGGAGCCTGTTATAATGAGGAAAGATCAGATACAACCAGGAGTAAGCAAATCACATCTTTCTCATGAAGGTGTACCCGCTGACAGTCATTGATAGCCTTCCACTGCTATGTCTGGTGAAGCCCAGGTTGTGGACTGGGCCCCCACCGACGATATCCAGACGGCTGATGGCCTTCCTGATTACCTTAATGGCCCTGCTTCGGATCGACCCCCAGCATACAAGCCTTAGCAGAATCTGGTTTATTGTTATTAATCGTGGGAGTTGCTTTGGTTGTTCTACTTTTATACCCCTCGAGCTATTGTTTCAGGTTTTCTTTTGTTCGAACTTCGTCCAATTATCAACCACCAAACTAATGGATTGTCTATAATTTGATATTCTCCTAGTAAATCAATCTAATTGCTGGGCCTGGCGACAAGAAGCTGCTTCTCAGTCTTCAGCTTGCTGAGCGTATCATCGCTAAGATTGAGTGTATCCGCAACGATCTGCTTCGGCGTTGATGCAATCCATTGACCAAGTGCCATATCTACTACCGTCAGTATACTAAACCCAAAGTCCAACGAGCGAAAACATACCTGTAAACTCAGATGCCTGAAGCACTTCCAAAAACACCAAATCTTCATCGCCTGTATTCTCAATATAGTGACTGTCCGACTGTGGGAAGTACCCAACATCACCAGCAGCAAAATCAAATGTAGTCGCAGCACTCGGGGCAGTAAAGAGCGTTCCCCGTCCCTGTCCCGAAATGAAGAAAGTCCATTCGTCACTCGTAGTGTGCCAGTGGATCTCCCGCATGCCGCCCGGTTTAACTGTCACAATGGCAGCAGAGAACTTGCTAGCAATGGGGAACGTGAGTGGGTCGACGATCTTGACTGACCCACCCTCGACTTCATGGGCGGGTTGTTCGGAGAAATGATAAGTATAGCTCTCGGTGAAGGGCACAAGACCTGCTTTTGTAGTCACATTTTGTTCCTCGATGTCTTTTGGAGCCGGCGTGCCATTGAAAATCCACAATTGCTTATCGGGGATATTGTCAAAGGCTGAGATCTCAACTCCAAGGTTCTTTGAAAGCACCTCTTTCTGTATGATGAGTTAGTAGATAATTCTGGTATAGATTTAGAATGTAATCTTGGTTACCGGAGTATGAAGGAAGACTTCAGTAGCGAGGAAAGTGTTATCCTCGCTGAAATCCCCATCGTCGAACACCAGAAGGAACTCGACTCCATCATCGAGAGCTTGAATAGAATGAGGGATACCACTAGCGATCAAATCATTAGCACAAGCTCATAAATCATATATTTACAAGCACTCACGGCGGAAAGAACCACACATCGCCGGCTGTAACATCATCGACAAAGGTCTCCCCATTTTCATTGACAGCCTGGCTCCCGAGTCAGTACGTTGTATCTTTCTAGCCAGGCATTCAATACACTTGGGATCAAATACCTGAACTCGACACGACCCATTCAACACCAAAGACCATTCGGCAGCGACGTGCCAGTGAAGTTCCCGGTATCCGGCAGGCGCCAGGCGCATGTTCACGCCCGCCATCCGCGTCGCATCCGGCATCACATTTTTGTTCTCTTGACGACCCCAACCTGCTCCGTTCATTCCAAGTCTTCGGAAATAATGCATCAGTATATCCATATTTATCCTGTGGAAAGGAGTGGTTACCTATTATGGCTCAACCCTAATACGTTATTAGCAACTGAACATGTGCACAGAAAACAGAACTTACCCATCGGCCACTGCGCATTGATAGTCTGTCCATTGTCGGTTCCAGGAGGGGCCAGTTTATCACTATTGATTCTGTCATAGTAATAGTTTCCTGGTCTGAGTGTTAATCTTCTATCCCATGGACTATCTCGGAGTATTGACGGAGAACATACTCGGGCCAGGGTCATCGGTACCAATAGAACCACGGATGGGCTGGGGATTGTCTGCCTTTTCAAAATCAAGATACGATCCGATTCGGGCATCTTCTTTCTGTCCGGGGAGAAGCGTGTACTTGATATCAGGTGGCGAATCACCGCCAACCTCATTCGATGGGGAGTATCCAAGTAGGGATTCGTCTCCTCGAAGACCGGGGTTTGAATCTTTCCCAGTAGGAGCCGCATGCACCAAAGATAGCACGGCAGGAAGTAGAGTAACAAGGGATTGGAGCTTCATATTGCAGCTCTTTTGAGGCACCAGGAAGAAATGTGAAGAGAGTATATTGAATTAGAATGAAAGCCGTCGTCCCATGATGTCCTATCGACCTTTTATATGTCCTTTAACCGCCTTAGCTTGATAATAGATGACTCCAAATTACCAAGCAGAGATCTGTGAGTAACATCTCGTGTTGGAATCATTACTTCGCCCCTCATCAGCCGGGATTCTCCAACAATTCGTACAGTTGAGTCGGGGTTTCCCCTCATGGCGACAGTAGATTTGTAAGGTAGTGGAGTATCAGGCCCGGAGAGTCCGATGTTAACGGTTATCATTTGCTGATGTAGACACGAGGCGGGGATAGTATGCAATTACGGAGAAGACGATGCAATGGGGTATGGGGGCCTTAACGAGACGCCGCCCCTCACCGATGCCAGCCAATACAAGGCCTTTGTCGCTCTTGCAGGCTGGTTACTTCTATAGGAAGGGTGGGAATATCGGAAGTCTCGGGGCGAGGGCTTTATGCATGTCGTGATATCCGGGGCTATTCATAAAGGAGCACGGAATGTGCCCTAGAGACAATTCATTTAGAAAGTTGCAGATCTCGCAGCACTGGGTTCCGCAGGGGCCTGCTGATCAGTAGAAAGTACTGGGCGCTATTTTGGAAGCTGATCCCACTGCTATCAGAGTGAGAGTAGGCCCACTGTGAAGAAGTAAGGACACGCCTCGGATGCGCAAGGTACTCGGGTAATGCACTCTCGACTCAGATCATATCTCTCCAAAGAGGTATTCATGATATGATTGTCTTTGTCGTCTTTGTAAGAAGGTGGAGAAAGGATGTTGACGGATGATCGTCGGTGTCATGAGCAGGAGGCGGAATGAAATCACGACTTCCCGATATGGTATGCAGGTGGGAGTATGGGAGATGAGCTAAGCTTCTACGCCGAGAACATCGCGAAAAGGCTAATTTCGACTCAGTCCATAGAGAGCGAAGTCAGAAAGTTCCACCTTTACTCGCTTTTGCCTATGCCGCGTGGACCAGACGTACTCCTCGTCGGTCCCCGGCGGGGGATCCCGGATTCTCCACTCATCAACATCCATCTGAGTCTCGTGCGCAGAGAGCTTGCCTTTCTCTACTGGATGCCATAGAAAAGACGCATGGAGTTCATCCCATTAGAAAAAGGCTTTCCCGGGTAAGGTTGCACTGCTGCATGTTGCAAAGCCAGGGTAATCACATTTCACCATCTGGTGATTATCTCCGTGTCTCGGTTGATTGGATGTAGATAGCTTTGTGCGGGTCAGGTAGACTGAGAAGGATCCGATGCATTGGAAATGAGGTTGCCTACCACAGCCAAGGAGTCCGTCCCCATATAGAGATTTTAATTTCTAAGCGTAGCCTCTGAGGACAGGATGCCGGCTTTCCGTGACCCCTGTGCAATAAAGATAACCACGGCCGAAGAACCTCCACAAACCCCGCGGCCCAGGAATGTAGGTGGTCAAAGGCCGCATTACAGAGTGAGCTGGTCTCGAAGCGGCCTTACTTGGTAAATTCACCGGACAGTACTTTTGCAACAAATTTGCTCGTCGGGCGGGAGGGAGGGGGTATGTTGGATGTTCTAGGCCATCTAGTCAAGCAGAATATCGTTGTAGCTAGGCTTATACACCTTCGGTTGATCTATATTCATTACGACATTGAAAGTAAGGCCGGACATAATGTTTTGTAATGCATGGCCAATTCATGACTTATAGAAGCACATGGACTTTATGAGGCCAGCCTCCTGAGTCAAATCCAGCCCTACAGTCCAGGGCCACCATGCGAAAGTAAGGAATAGGGGGCTCACCAGGTCACCAGGTCACCAGGTCGTGGTAAAAACTGGTAAGCATTTACTAGTAATAAATAGTAGCTTATAGGGGTTACCTAAGAGGGTTAAATTACCAATAAATTACATAGATATACTGACCAGGTCACTAGGTCACCAGGTCATACCTGAGCTTTATAAAAATATTCGAACTATAAGTTACTAGTCATCACTATTACACTGAAAGTTACTAGTAACGACTATAGGAGGTGCTTAGAAATCCAACCTAGTGACCTAGTGAAACGTGTATTTTATAGTAAAGATACTTTTAAAGTACAATTACTATAGATTATAAGGATTTTACTAATTTCTCTTAGATATAACTAGTAACTATTAAATTCTAGTATTTTATTACCTTATATTATATTAGTATACTTTATAGGAATATATCTATAAGTAACTAGGAGAGACTAGAAGGGAATAGTTCTAGGATCTTAAAATATATATAAAATAGAGCTTAATTAAACGTATTATAACCTAGTGATAGTTAAGATAATATATTAAGAAATAGTAAAAAGGTCCTAATTTACTAATAGTAAGGCTTAGTAATATCTAGTTACTACTATAAATTACTAGGAATTAGTGACTTACTCTTAAAGTTACTAGTAATTACTAGTAGAAGTTAGGCTTATATACTTCTTAGAAAGATTAGCTTAATACTACCTTTCTTATAATATCTTAAAGAAGAAGAATATATTAAGATTAAGACGATATAATTTAAACCTTATATAGGTAGTTTTAATAGGGGTTTACTAGGGATTCCTATTAACTTCTTATTTCTTCCTTTTAATCTAACTTCTTCTTCTTTTCTTTTTAATATTACTATATCTTCTAGTATACTCCTTTTCTTACCCTAAATCTATCTTAATAATACTATTTTTATTATCTTTTTATTAAATCTACTTTATTAGTTATTAATATAATTAGTATATACTATTTATATTATTTCCTATACTAATCTAATATATTAGATAGAGTAGTAATAGGTTAATAGTAGGTATAATAAGATAAGATAAGAAGAACTACTAGATATAACTAATAGTAACTAGTTATATTTAGTAAATATATTTTACTTTTAATTATTAATACTCTTATTTATTATTACTATATTAAATCTATACTCCTAGTTATTAATTTAATTAGGATATACTATTTATATTACTTCCTATATTAATCTAATATATTAAGCGGGGTAATATTAGGTTAATAGTAGATATAATATAAGCTTTATAATAACTATTAGTTTTTACTAGCTTTTACTAATAATTATTAATAATTTTTCTAGAACCTATAGCTATTCTAATCGGAAGTCCTTTTTTCGATTTTTATCTCTAGCGATCTTTTTTATATTACTATATTTTCCTATTACTTACTAGTTTTTACTAGTAATAGCCCCTTTTAAATATTCGGTATAGTTAGTATTATTATCTAGTCTAGACGATCGGAAGAAACCGAATAAGAACGATAAGGATAAGCCTACTCGTATTATAAATAAAGTAGCTATATATACTAATAAGATCGCGATAGTATAGAATAAAATTATATATATAGCTATTACTATTTCTAACTATCTATTACTAATAATTACTAGTCGTAAGGAGATCTATAATTACGATTACTATATTTAAGATCGGCGGTTTACCCGCTTTCCTTTTACTAAAGTAGTAGTAAGTATTTAATAATTAAATACTAGTTATTTTTAAATTTAGCTAATTATTACTAGTAATTACTAGTAGGTAATCCCCCGCTACGTAACTAACTATCCCTATTATATTTACGCCCTATAAGTAATACCCTCTATTCTAAAAATTAAGCTATTTATATCTAGTTACTAATAGTAATTACTAGTAGTAAGAAAACTATAAATAGTAGAAAATAGTACCGTTCGGCCGCTTCTACTATCCGTAAGTATATTACTAATATATATTATATAAGCCCTATATTTACTATTTTTTACTATTTTTTACTAGTTACTAATATCTAATTAGGGTAAAAATCCTTATTTCGGTCTCTATATTATCGGAGATTAGTAACTTAGTACTCTTTTATAGGTTTTACTAGATCCTATTAGTTACTACTAATATTTACTAACTATAAAATTTAGTAATAGTATCTAAGGTAACGCCTCTAATAAGGAGGATAATAATAATAAGGATAAGGAATCGGAGTCTACCGATAAACCTTAGGTAGAACTAGTGGTTACTAGTAAAACCGCTAATAAGAAGAAGACTACGGAGGCCTTTACCGCCTCCTAGGGAGATTAGTGAGTTCGTTTTACTACTTCCTACTATTAATTACTACTAATAATTAATAGACCCCCTCTTCCTCTCCCCGCTACGCCCCCCGCTACCCCCCCCGCTACCCCCCTACTACCCCCCGGCTACCCCCTTAGCTACCCCCCGGCTACCCCTCTAGCTACCCCCCTAGCTACCCCCCTAGCTACCCCCCTAGCTACCCCCCTAGCTACCCCTCTTACTACCCCTCCCTACTACCCCCCGCTATTCTACTTAAAATATATAAAAGGCCTCTAAACTAAAGGCGTAAGGGGTAATATCTTAATAGTAATATCTAGTTACTACTAGTTTTTAATAGTAGTAACTAGTAAAGGATAGATTATATTTTTCTATAATATTAATAAAACTATATTTATCTAAAACCTATATATAATAATATAATAATAAGTCTTATAGTAGTTTCTTAATCTAAGTATATATATTTAAAAGATCTAAAAAGTAGGCGTTTTACTATATCCTACTAGATATTACTAAGAGTTATTAGTAATAAACTCTTATATCTAAATCCGCCTAATTTATTATTTTCTTCCTCTTATTACTATCTTTTCTTAGTATCTTCTCTATCTACTATCCTCTACTATTATCTACTATCTTTAATATCTTCTACTATTCTCTATCTTACTATCTTTATTATTATTATTATTAACTAGTACTTTATTATTATAACTAGTAATCCTTAGTAATAGCCTATTATAGCTAATCTACTTAATAACTAGGATTTAAATTATAAGATCCCTTCTTCCGATCTAGTATAAATTACGTTTACTAAGAAGCTTAACGATAAAGATTACTATCTACTAAGTACTACCGATATCTATATATCCTTACCGGAGGTTACTAATCTTACTAGTATCCTAACTAGTATTAATAAGGGATT